GGCTTCAAAACAGAAGGGCGGTTCACGGAACTGATTCTTGAGTTTTAATTGCAATACGCCAGGCTGATTGCCCCAGTCCAGGCATCGTTTCAGAATTGATGAAGACCTTGGCAGTTCTCCCGGTTCCCTGGCCATAGTATGGAAAGATTTCTAGGATATCAAGTACGGTTAGTGGATTGCTAACAGATTCCAGTATTTTACAGTGTGGTTTTGGGTTTTGTTTTGTCCATTTAAATTCATGTTTGCTGATTTTGCTGTGGCTTTTGACTTGCATTTTTCCTTTATTTTGAAACCATTTTTCTTCAATAAAAAAGGATTGTTTTTCACAGCCAAGTGCGGTGGATAGTTATCTTAGGGCCTCGTTCCCTGCTCTGGATTGCAACATAGGCTCAGCATTGAAAATGTTGGATTTGGGAATGGGGAAAATACTCTGAGCCCATGCCTGTTCCATCTTCCAGGAGCATGGTTTGCGTTGCCTTTTAGCTGCATTGGATAGCATTTCTTTGCATTTCCCAGGGTTGCTATAGACCCAGCAGCACCCTGAAAGTTAAACCGTATCAGAGTCTGGAAAGCCAAGCTGCAGGCCCTCTGCAGTTATTGGTTTAGAAAGTATCTTTTTGGGTTTGGAGTCCACCCTTTTTCCTGGGCTTGAGATCTCCATTTTGGAATCTCCCCTGCCTCCTTCAGTAGAGAAAAAAGGCCTCAGATGTGCTGTTGGTCAGGCAGGGAGCTCTGAAAAGCCATTGTGAGTACTATTGAGAAATTGAGATAGATAGATAGATAGATAGATAGATAGATAGATAGATAGATTAGCAATTGAGTAATTGAGTCATTGGGTTATTTAGACAGAGAAGCTGATTGAGTTATAGATAGATATAGAGATAAAGACAAGCTTATTGAGAAATAGAGAGAAATAGTTATTGAGTACTATTGAGCATTACTTCATCTCCAAAGCTAACATTGTGCTTAGATAGGGGAAGACCTGTTCTTTCTAATCACAGCAGCTCAGGATTAGGGTGAAAGATCCCAGGATTTTTTCTACCTTTTGGAGAAAGGTTACCTCAGTAATTGAAGGAAAAGGAAAGAACATCTCTATGGTTTCCCAAATTGACTGTTTGTGTTGCAACTTGATCAAGCTGTGCCAAGTCTGCCAAGGACTTTGGAAATAAACATTTTGTTGATGTTCATACCTTGACTAGCATCACTTACTGAAAGTATTGAGTTATTGCTTCAAAGAAAGACCCCCAGCAGTTCGCCCAGATAAAGAGAGAAGCACATCTTAGTTTTAATTTTGCAATGTCTGGGTGTGACGGCACACATGCCTCTTTATTCAAACTTAAGACTATATCACTATGCTACAGTCCATCCACAAAGAAGTCAAAGCTTTACACCACAAGGACTGGTTCTCATGTCCACTTGGGAGTCGTTTTCATTACCTCCCAGAGACATAGGCATTGCCTCCATTCCATTGACAGACACCAACCAAATTAGAAGCTGTATTTTCTTCAACCTTCAGTGACAAATGTCCTCTATTATATATTCATTTCAGGGTATGCCCAGGGTGGAATACATCTCACCACGCTAAAACAGTGGATGTGGCTCTTAATGAGACATGCCGCATTATCACAGGGTGTCTGCGCCCTACACCACTGGAGAAATTACACTGTTTAGCTGGTATTGCACCCCCTGACATCCACCGGGAAGGAGCAGCCAATAGTGAAAGGATCAAGGCAGAGACATCTCCGGCCCATCCTCTGTTTGGATATCAGCCAGCACGCCAATGCCTTAAATCAAGAAATACATTTTCTAAGATCTACAGAGACATTCGCTGGAACACCTCAGCAAGCGAGAGTCCAAAAGTGGCAGGTTCAAACCCAATGGCTGATGCCCAATGAGAGACTCCCCCCTGGGCACACAGAAGACTGGGCGACTTGGAAGGTGCTCAACAGACTGCGCTCTGGCACAAGATGCAGAACCAAACTCAAGAAATGGGGCCACAAAGTGGAATCTACGATATGCAAGTGTGCAAATCACAGACTGCTTACTACAATGCAGTCTGAGCACTGCCACATGCACAATGGAGGATCTTCTTACAATGACACCAGAGGCACTCCAAATGGCCAGCTTCTGATCAAAGGACATTGAATAGAATGCCAAGTTTTTCGTTTGTTTTTTAAATACATTATAACTGTACCTTTGCTCCTGATACGATAAATAAAATAGGGCAAGGTATCAAATGTGATCATGTAAACATTACCTCCTTGCTTGTGGAACAAAGGCCACCACCTCACAGTTTGTTCGGTCTTCGGTGGAGAGCCATTTTCCGACTCCTTCCATCTCGGACACGACTGCGGTTCTGCAATGATCCAAACTGAACCGCACGTCCTGCGCGCAAACAAAGAAAGCCATCACATCAGTCTCCAGTATTCTTTGGCTTTGCCCCATGTCCTTCACATATGGTTGGACGTACCTTGTGGTGGACATGTGACAAAGCAAAGCAATACTGGAGACTGATACAAAATATAGTTAAAATCAGAATGCAGCTTTATTTTTATTGGGACTTCCAAATGAGCAAACATCCAACACGCATTTCAAGCAATATATATGTGTTATGGTGACAATATTGTTTTGTTAATCTTATGTTTATGTTGTTTACTCTGTATGTATTGATGATGTTACTTGGAAACCATTCTGAGTCCGCTGAGTTGCCCAGATAAGAGTGATATATAAATAAAGTTTTATTATTATTACTAGCCATCCCATGTCATGCCCAAGCTCTGTATATGTGCTTTGTGTGTGTATATATTTGTGTATATGTGTATATATGTGTGTCCGCGTATATATATATATTAGGCTTGGGCAATCCATGGTTCTAAATGGTTCTAAAGTACTTACAAAACTAAAGTTCTGGTGGTGAAAATTTCAGAACTCTAACAAAACTCTCAAAATTTCATAATAAATGGCAGTTCCTAATTGGTTCTGTCATTAAAATCACCAATAATGAAATAATAATTAAATTTTGAAAGTTTTGTTAAGAGTTCTGAAATTTTCACCACCAGAACTTTAGTTTTGTAAGTACTTTAGAACCATTTAGAACCATGGATTGCCCAAGCCTAATATATGTGTGTGTGTGTGTGTGGTTTTGCGCATGTGTTGTAATGTAATTGCTGTTTTTTGTCTTTTTAAGTCCCTTTCGCTGTGTTTTCCAGTGTTTTAATGAGTAATGGTCACTTGTTGGCCTGAGAGGTATATTGTGCCCAAATTTAATGTGAATTTGTCCAGTGTTTTTTTTTACTTATGTTAATCCCACAAAAGAATACGACATTTTTATTTATATAGAAGATTGTCATATATCATATTATAATAATATTTGTTATTAAGCTTTTGAGGGGCATAATAGTTTTCCCATTTTTTAAATGATAGGCACAAATAGGAAATAATGGCATTGATAACCCGGGAACAAAAATCGTGTTAGCTAGTGTAATATAAGTAAAAAAGGAAAAGCAGGTCACAGATAACATTTATTATTATTATTATGAATTAATAATATAAGTAAGCAAGTAAGGAGAAGTGGGTCAGAAAATATTATGTGTGTTTACTGTGTGTGTATGTGTATGTGTGTGTGTGTGTGTGTGTGTGTGTGTATATATATATATATATATATATATATATATATATATATATATATATTATATATATATATATATGGTTTTGTGCATGCTCTTTTTGCTTTTTTGGCTTTTTAAGTCCCTTTCGCTGTGTTTTTCAGTGTTTTTATGAGTGATGGTCACTCGTTGGCCTGAGAGGGGTCTTGTGTCCAAATTTGGTGTCAATTCCTCCAGTGGTTTTTGAGTTATGTTCATCCCACAAACTAACATTACATTTTTATTTATATAGATTATGGAGCAAGGGGATATGAGAAGACTTGACATCCATCATAGCCGGAGGCACACTTTGAAGGAGAAGGCTTGTAAAAGTTTACCAAAAATTTGGGAATATAATAATTGCAAGGGGAGAAAAATCTGCTGAAATTCACTCAGGCTGAACTTCCTGACGTATGTTGCCCTTTCAGATGATCGCAATTTGTCCATCAGCAACCAATAAAAAATGGATATGTATTAAATGGGTGCAATTTACCTGCCTGCCGCTCCTCACTTCCAGCCGATGCCACTTTTTGTCTGTGACGTTCACATAACCAGGCAAACGCAATTCTGTGGTGCCCAAACCATGGTCTACTTTCAGCACAGGAATGCCACCCAAAAGTTCTGAGATTAAGTACAAAGAAAAGAATAGATATAGATTTGGTCCCACACAGGCACTAGGGAGGGAATGGGTTAGGGTTGTCCCTTCCAGCCCTTAAATTTATTTAATTCAATTTGCACTGAACTACTGATGCTATTGAATGTGTTACTTGCTGTTACATCTGAAGTTGCATCGGAAAGCTGGTGTGGTCAGTGTTCTGGACTGAAATGTGTGGAAGGTCCTGCTTCAAGTCCCTACTCAGTTCTCAATTATGGGTGGAAAGTGGAAAGAAGAAATGGAATATTTTCCCACAATTTCCTCCAATTCTGCAATATGATACAGCTGCAATCCTACACTTAATCTAAAGTAAGTTCCACTCATAACAGTTTTTTTTCCATGTCAGGAGCAACCTGAAAAACTGCAAGTTGCTTCTGGTGTGAGAGAACTGGCCATCTGCAAGGGTGTTGCCCAGGGAACATTGTGTTATCATCCTGTAGGAGGCTTCTCTCATGTCCCCGTATGAGAAGCTAGAGCTGACAGACAGGAGCTCACCCCCCCCCCCCAGATTCGAACCACCGACCTTGGAGTTCAGCCTGTGGTTGTGTTTCAAGATGATCAAGGTGCTTTAGATGTGGGGAATGATGTCACTCTAAATCCCAGCAACTACAATTCCCACAGGACAAAATCAATGCCCTCCCACAATCCCATCAGTATTCAGTATTAGGTATTTGTGCCAAATTTGGTCCAGTGTATGAAAATACATCCTGCATATCAGATATTTACATTACTCTTCATAACAGCAGCAAAATGACAGTTATGAAGTAGCAAGGAAACTAATTGTATGGTTGGGGGTCACCATAACATGAGGAAGCGGATTAAGGGGTCGTGGCATTAGGAGGGTTGAGAACCACTGCTCTACACGGATGCACCGGAGCAATGACCGATTCCCATCTATCCCCTTGTGCTGTATTTCTAATGACTTCCTCCACTGCCAATTCAAGCCCAATCTGTTCTTTGTCTTAAAAGAAAAGCTCATCCATCTTTTAGGGCTTCTTTGCACACTGTAGTATAGTGATCCCTTCTTGTCTCAGCCTCTTCCCTTGTGGGTGGTCAACACTCTCCCCAAAAGGAAATGGGGGTGATTTAGGCCAACACTGAAATATGATTAGTATTATGATCCCCTGAAGACAGGAAGAGCCATCTCTGGAGCGGGAGAAGTGGCTTCCCCCCTCAAGTTGTCCTTCCTACAAATAGGACAGCATAATGGAATTAGCTTTGCTCTCACAAGCCTTGAGAAAGACAACCTCTGAAGAAGCCGGTCTGCATTTCCACCAAGTCACAAAAAGCAACAACACACATGAGTAAGTCTTCATTAATGATGTAATACCTGCCTCAAAATATCTGAAACACTCAAAGCCGAGGGATGCTCCCCAGTGGGCTCCTTTTGGTGGAGTTGTCTGCTTTGTTTTCCCTTTGATAACGTCAACTCGGATAGGCAAGAAGCCCCAGTCTGAAGGAATTGTAACCGCACACTTCAGAGCACAGAGCACGCATTCGCCGTCTTAAAACAACCGGCAGACCATCAGGGACTGCAACCAACTCAAAACAAGCACACTGTCTTCAGAAAGCAGTCCAAGAAAACCCAACTCTTATTTTATGCAAAATTTAAAGCTACCAAACACACATTTTTACTCTGTTGGGTCCATGTTCCCCTTTCAAAACAACCCCAAGGAACGCACAACACGCTATTCATTATTACTAAAGAAAACAGAGTTTTTGAAGGATGGAAAACAAAAAGCAACGGGGATTTTGCAAGAGGAAACACCACTATATCTCTGTCTGCTTGCACAACACAAGACATGCCTATAGATTTATAATAAAGCCGTGAAAACTTGGACTTGGAGGAATAGAAATGGGAAAGAGGGGAGTGCTGTTATTTGTAGATCCAGGTTTCCATGATTTATTTGAATGGACACACAGCTTTTTGCAAGTGGAAATCAATTTTGTGATGGAAGAATGGGCAAATCTCACTTTCCTTTCTTGAGTGGGCAAGTTGATTCTGCACTTGCAAAAGGAACACAGTATTTTTGAAAAGGAAAAGTGCCACCTCTCTATCTGAGTAGCACTTCCCTGGTTGGTGGGATGTGGTTTTGAGTTTGGGCGCATCCACACAGCACCTAAAATATGCGCCCTCCCGTGTTTTCACCTGGAGCATCCAAACGACGCCTCAGGCAAAAACGAATTCCTTCAGCACAAAGCAGGAAAACCTTGCTTTGTCCCAAAGTAATTCGACACCTGGAAAGACGCTGTGTGGATTGGGCCCGGAGATGGCATTGCACGGCTTCCGGTTCCCAATCCACACAGCTGTCTCAGGATTTCTGGGCTCCTGGAACCCGAAAACCCCAAGGGAGCCCACACCTCCTCCCAAACCAGAGTGGAAATCACATATCGGACAGATGGCAAGCTATTCAACCTCAGCAGACTGAAAGCCAAAAGGTTACAACTTCTAGTTGCTGGTGATTTATCAGCTGTGCTAAACTTCCGGCCCTTACCTTGACCTTTTTAAACATAACAACAACAACAACAAGAACTAGGGAAGCAAGGAGATACAATCATCCGGAGAGACCCTGCTCACGATCCCACCTGCATCATAAGCGCGCTTGGTGGGGACGAGGGACAGGGCCTTCTCTGTGGTAGCCCCCTGACTCTGGAACACCCTCCCCAAGGACATCAGACAAGCCCCAACGTTGGCAGTCTTTAGGAAGAGCTTGAAGACTTGGCTGTTCTGGTGTGCCTTTCCAGAATAGGAAACTCCCAGCATCATGTCCCAGATGCACTTTATTAGAGATTTAAGATTGCCTGCATATTGCACCTACCCTAGAATCCTTACACGTCACCGGTCATGTCCAGCACTTTTAACTGTACCCATTACATTTGGCCCGGCCCTAGTTTTAAACGTGTCATGGTGTATTGTTTTGCTGTTTTACTGTTATTGCTTTAATGTTTTTTGATTTGCTTTTGAGTTATATAATGTATTGTCATGCTGTTGTTTTACTGAGGGCCTTGGCTTTTGTAAGCCGCATCGAGTCCTTTGGGAGATGTTAGCGGAGTACTAATAAAGATAATAATAATAAATAATAATAATAATAATACAAACAGCCTATTTAAATACCAACAAAATTTCCTTTATATGCAAATTCGCCTGACAGCAACCATAAACTCATGACTAGGAACTACTTGGCCTGCAAGAAATAAGAAATATCTAATGGAGGGGGGGTCACAGTAATCTGCATTCTGTGCTTAAGGAGATGATCTGGCAGGGACAAGAGACAGACAGGGCCTTCTCAGTGGTGGCCTCTTGGCTATGGAATGCCCTCTCTAGGGAGATCAGATCAGCTCCCTCCCTACTAAAGTTTCAGAGGCAAGTTAAAACATGGTTATTTGAGCAAGCGTTTACAAATGCAGAGTAACCGACATAGGAAACTGAATGACTTGACGATGGAACTGGCCAATGCTTGATAATAAGGAGACACTAATGTTGTTATTATTGTTGTTGTTTTATACTGTTTTAATGTTTTAACTTGTGTACTGTTTTGTTGGAAACCGCCTTGAGCCGCCGATGGGCTGAGAAAAGCAGGATACAAATTCAGTAAATAAATAATAATAAATAAATCTGCCGTTTAACACGTCAGGTCGAAATACCTATTGCAATGAAGTTTTCTGAGTTCCCAAAACCCAAGTCGGACAAGGGACCATTGTAGAGCAAAAGTCCATCTGGAGCATCCGTGATGAACTCGAGGGACAAGGAGCTCTCAAAGCAAGGCCTGATGGGACGGAACCACGCAAAGCCATCCCCGTGGAAGCTGCGCTTGGTCTGCTGGCAATCTGGTCCATGAAATGAAGCAGAACATTGACATCTGAAACAAACATAAACGAGAAAGAGCGAGAGAGAAAGAGGAAGGGAGAGAGAAACGGTGGTAACAAGAGAGGCTTGCAAATATTCCTGCCATTATTGCCATTGCTATCACAGTTGGACATTACCTACGTGCGTGGTGGTATATATTATTCAACCCTGGCGTGCAATTTGGACTTGGGAGGGCCAGAATTGGTTGATGTTTTGGTGCCAGGGACGTGCGAGGAGAGATTCAGGGTCATTAAGGTGAAACAAAGTCAATGGGCAAACTTTGGCCCTCCAATAGACTGTTAGGAATGGTGGGAGTTGAAGTCCAAAACACCTGAAGGGAGGGCCCAAGTTTGCACATGCCTGGTATGAAATACAGACTGGTGTTTATAGTTACAGCAGCGTTTCTCAACCTGGGGGTCGGGATGCCTGGGGGGGGGGGTCACAAGGGGGTATCAGAGGGGTCACCAAAGACCATCAGAAAGCACAGTATTTTTTGTTGGTCACAGGGATTCTGTGTAGGAATTTTGGCCCATTTCTATTGTTGGTGGGGTTCAGAATGCTCTTTGATTGTAGGTGAACTGTAAATCCTAGCAACTACAATTCCCAAATGCCAAGGTCTGTTTCCTCCAAACTCCACCAGTTTTCACATTTGGGCATATTGTGTATTTGTGACAAGTTTGATCCTGATCCATCATTGTTTGGGTCCAGAGTGCTCTCTGGATGTAGGTGAACTACAGCTCCCAAACTCAAGTCAATACACAGCAAACCCCTTCAAAATTTTCTGTCGGTCATGGGAGTTTTGTGTGCCAAGTTTGGTTCCATTCCATCGTTGGTGGAGTTCAGAATGCTCTTTAATTGTAGGTGATCAATCCCAGCAACTACAAGTCCCAAATGACAAGATCAATCCCTCCCAACCCTACCAGTATTCACAAAAGAGAAAACAGAGGAAAAAGAGGACAATAGAGAGATCTATCCGAATGTCCACACTTGAAAATGGAATTTTGTGAAACATAACTTTGGAGATAATTAGTGGAAAAAGCTAAGAGGGGAAATGTGGAAGGCATCGTTCCTCCTCTCACCTGTAACCGCTGAGCATGTCAATGCAAGTCCCTCCGTTGAAACAGGGGCTGTGAGAGTAAGAGTTGCACGACCGATGGACCCGCTCTCTGGCTGCACAGGTGCAGATGGCGCTGACGCTGGTGGATACGGAGACCAGCGAGACACTCCCTGCGTCTGTCACGGAAGGGACGTCGCTCACCGTGATGTAGTTGGTGCAGCCGCTGCTTCCGCTGCAGTCGGTCCTCTGGCATTCATCCACATCAATCTGAGAAATATTTACTCCTAAAGCCAGCTGGATCTGAAGGGAAAAAGCAGTATAGAAAACAGCCCTTGAGCTTTGCATACATCACAAATAATAATAATAATAATAATAATAATAATAATAATAATAATCTATATATATAAATCTGTTAGGTTGGTTCAACGGGACAGCAAAACTCCACAACCCCCCAACGAAACTTAACCAAAATTCCCATGCCCATAACACAACCCACAAGGTACAAACATATCTACTCAAAATGAAAAACAACACAACAACACACTCACAAAACGGCAAAACAACAAAACTCAAAAAAACCCAACGAAACTTAACCAAAATTCCCATGCCCATAACACAACCCACAAGGTACAAACATATCTACTCAAAATGAAAAACAACACAACAACACACTCACAAAAACAGCAAAACAACAAAACTCAAAAAACCAACGAAACAACCAAAATTGCCATGCCCATAACACAACCCACAAGGTACAAACATATCTACTCAAAATGAAAAACAACACAACAACACACTCACAAAACAACAAAACTCAAAAAAACCCAACGAAACTTAACCAAAATTCCCATGCCCATAACACAACCCACAAGGTACAAACATATCTACTCAAAATGAAAAACAACACAACAACACACTTACAAAACGGCAAAACAAATAAGCATGCGCATTGGTGCCCAGCCGCAAGTTCCCTGGCGCGCGCACACAGTTCCCTCTGCGGAAGCCATGCCCACTCCAAGCCCCGCCGCGCCGCTTCCCGCACACACACCCCCCCTGCCGCACGCACACACGCAACCCCACGCTCCATCACTCCCGCCGCCGCACACACACACGCAACCCCACGCTCCATCACTCCCCCCACCGCCACACACACACGCGCACCCCCACTCCCCCCCGCTGCCGCACACACACACGCAACCCCACGCTCCATCACTCCCCCCGCTGCCGCACACACACACACAACCTCACGCTCCATCACTCGCCTGCCCCAATCTTACCTCCTTTTACTTCACGCCACCTCCAAACCCCACCCCGCCCCTTCCCGCCCTGTCAAAATCCAGGAAAGACAGGAAGGAAGGAAAGAAAGAGAAAGGGAGGTAAAGAAAAAGGGGGAAGGAAGGAAAGTTAGAGAAAGAAGGAAGAAGAAAAGCAAAGAAAAGGAAAGATGGAAGGAAGAAAAGAGAGACAGCAGAAGAGAAAGAAAAAGGGGGAAGGAAGGAAAGAGGTAGAGAAGGAAGAAAAGAGAGAGGGAGGGAAGGAATGAGAGAAGGAAGGAAGGAGAGAAGGAAAGAAAAAGGGAATGAAGGAAGGAAAGAGGGAGTGAAGGAAGGGGGAAGATGTAGAGAAAGAGGGAGGGAAGAAAAGAAGGAAAGAGAGAAGGGGAGGGAAAGAAAAGGGGGAGGAAGGAAGGAGAGAAGGAAAGAAAAAAGGGAATGAAGGAAGGAAAGGGAGTGAAGGAAGGGGGAAGATGTAGAGAAAGAGGGAGGGAAGTAAAGAAGGAAAGAGAGAAGGAAGAAAAGAGCAGAAGAGAAAGAAAAAGGGGGAAGGAAGGAAAGAGATAGAGAAGGAAGAGGAGAAGGAAAGATGGGAAGGAAGGAAGGAGGGAAAGAAGGAGAGAAAGAGGGAAGAGTGGCCACAGCAACACGTGGCGGGTAAAGGTTGTTATTTCTATTATTATTATGCTATTGTTCCTATGAGACCCTGTTAGGGGGAATGGGAGAGGTGTCAGGTCCCAGAGGCAATGCATTGCATTATTGTTATTGTTATGATGGTGGTGAAATAAAAGGAAATAAAAAGAGAAAGTAGGAAGCAAACAGGGAGGGAAGAAAGGCCAAGGAAGGAAGGGGGAGGGAATGAAGGAAAGAGAGAAGGATGAAACCAAGTAGTGAAAGAAGGAAAGAAATAAAGAGGTAGAGAAGGAAGAAAGGAGAGAAAGGGGGAGGAAAAGGGGGAAGGAATAGGTAGGTACCTCTCTTTCATAATAGTCCAGATATCTACCCCTACTTTGATAAGTTTTACTATAGGCCACAGCAACGCGTGGCAGGGCACAGCTAGTAATAATAATAATAATTCTAGACGCTTGGGAAGTGCTCAACTTCTGATTTTGTGATACGAAATCCATCATACAGATCTTGTTTGCTGTGACATACTGTGGTGTTGTGTCACTAAAATAATAATAATAATAATAATAATAATAATAATTGCTGCAAGAAGATTGCGCAGACAGACTCCAAGCAGAGGCACAACACCGTTGCTCAGATAATTCATTGGAACTTGTGCCACAAACACCATCTGCCTGCAACAAAGAACTGCACAAGCCAGAAAAAGTTACAGAAAATGAACACACCAAACTCCTCTGGGACTTCTGGATTCAGACTGTCAAGAGTTTTGGAGCACAAGACTCCTGACCTCACGATCGTGTTAAAAAACAAAGTATGGATCCTCAATGTCAGGTGACAGAAGGATTGAAGAGAAACAACTGGAAAAACGGACACAATATGAGGATTTAAAGATCGAACGGCAAAGACTCTGGCACAAGCCAGTCAAGGTAGTCCAAGTGGTGATCGGCACACTGGGTGCAGTGCCTAAAGACCTTGGCCTGCACGTAAACACAATCAGCACTGACAAAATTAGCACCTGCCAGCTGCGGAAGACCACCTTAATGGGATCTGGACGCATTGTTTACCGATACATCACACAGTCCTAGACACTTGGGAAGGGTCTGATGTGAGATCCAATACGATAGCCAGCAGAGTGACTTTGTTTGCTGTGGACTTATCTTGTTGTGTTTCTAATAATAATAATAATAATAATAATAATAATAATAATAATAATAATAATAATAATAATTTTGTGATGTGAACTTGACTTGGACTTTTACATGGAAATAATGGTGATTCTAGTGCAGTACCCAAACCCAAAGGATGCTTCTTCCAGTGTTTCCTCTTCTTCATCCTGGAAAGAAGTGGCTATTTGGTGCCATCAAGAGGGTTCAGTCCTGGGCAACCTCAGGGGTCGTGAGGTCTGCTGGAAACTAGAAAAATGGGGTTTATATATCTGTGGAATGTCCAGAGTGGGAGAAAGAAGTCTGGTGGAGCTAGGTGTGAATGGTTCAATTATTACTCTATGATTCTATGAAAAGGGGGACTGGAAATATTATGGTCACTGCATAGAGGCGGTGCCAAAATGGTAATATCAAAAAGGCTGAGCTACTCAACATCTTCTTTGCCTCAGTTTTCTCCCAAAAGATTAACAGTGCTTAAGATTCTGTTTGAGCAAGCCACACACCTCTCCTCCTGTAATAATGTACCCATTTCCCATATAATTTCTCTGTAGGAATGTGTCCAGTAGGGCTGGGCAGTTTCGTTTCGTTAATGCGTAATTCGTTAAAAATTCGGTTTTTTTTTTGTGTTAACGAAGCGATAACGAACCATTCTGGAGCAACTTAAAAATGAAACGAATTTTTCAATTCGTTTCGTAAATGCTTCGTATTTTGTTATGTATTCGTTTCGTTATTGGTTTGAGGTCGTTTCGTTATTATTTCCGCATGTCTGGGGCAAGTTTTATAGTTGTTTTTTGTTTAATTAGTGAAAAAAAATTATAATATCACACCAACAGTCAAAAACAGAGGGAGAGGGAAGCTTCAGAAGTTTTTTTAGCGTATTGCGCGATCGCGGCCGCCATTAACGAATCGATTCGTTATTGTTTCGTTATTGTTTTGTAAATTTTTTTACCATTTACGAAATTTCGTAAATATCGAACTTTTTTTAAGGAAAATTTCGGAATTCTTTTAAATATCGAAACGCAAAAACCCCCCAAAAACGAATCGATTTTAGAAACAAATTTTTCCGTTGTTACCCAGGCCTAGTGTCCAGAGGAAGGCGACTAAAATGATCAAAGGTCTGGAGAACAAGCCCTATGAAGAGCGGTTTAAAGAGCTGGGCATGTTTTGCCTGAAGAAGAGAAGGCTGAGAGGAAACATGATGAGGGCCATGTATAAATATGTGAGAGGAAGCCACAGGGAGGAGGAGGGAGCAAGCTTGTTTTCTGCTTCCCTGGAGACTAGGACGCCATGGAACAATGGCTTCAAACTACAAGAGAGGAGATTCCATCTGAAGATGAGGAAGAACTTCCTGACTGTGAGAGCCGTTCAGCAGTGGAACTCTCTGCACCGGAGTGTGGTGGAGGCTCCTTCTTTGGAAGCTTTGAAGCAGAGGCTGGATGGCCATCTGTCAGGGGTGCTTTGAATGCAATATTCCTGCTTCTTGGCAGAAAGGGGTTGGACTGGATGACCCAGGAGGTCTCTTCCAACTCTTTGATTCTATGATTCGATGAATGTTTCAGTTATTACTCTATGATTCTATGAAAAGGGAGACTGGAAATATTATGGTCACTGCATAGAGGCGATGGCAAAATGCTAATAGTGAAAAGGCTGAGCTACTCAACATCTTCTTTGCCTCAGTCTTCTTCCAAAAGATTATCAGTGCTTAAGATTCTGTTTGAGCAAGCCACAAACCTCTCCTCCTGTAATCACGCACCCATTTCCCATATAATTTCTCTGGAACCCGTGATTGTGCCTTGCACCCTTTGAGTGCTTGCGACCTTTCAGCCTCACCTTGTTTTTAAAGGCAGCCATCTGCCCTTGCAGTTTTTCTGGCCGACAATAGAACGAGCCATTCTGGACCGCAAATCTCAGATCCGTTTGCCTCCCATCGACATCTGACACGCTGAAAACAGCAACATCCTCAGGGCGGACTGAAAAGATCTCCGCCACAAGGTCTACGAACTTGTCGTGCTTGCTTTCTTCCAGCTTATCTTTTCTTATGAATTCTTCCGCAGTCATGTCTGATCCAAAAGGTCAATTTGAGAAAGGAAAATCGGGTTATTCGCATGTCTTTAAAGCATTTGCTTAGGACTTTGCACAGGGAAAGCATTACAACCATCTCTGCTCTGAGGAGCTCAAAACTGCACATGGCACCCACATCTCACCCCTTATTTTAGCTTCACAATAGCAAGGCATAGAGGAGGGACTGGGAGGCAACAATTACATCATGTAACAACATTTGGGGGAAAAAATCCCTGTTCCTGGCTTGAAAGTGTTATTTCCTGTTTTGAAAGCAGTTGTTCTGCTCCAGAATGTTTGAGTTCTGACTTGTTTCAAATTTAAAGAGACTACAAATTGGTTTTACAGAAGCAAAAGCTAGACTATTTCTTTCTCTCCTGATTCCACTCACACACATATTACTTCTTCAGAAATATTATTTGATAATGATGTTTTGTGGCTCACCCCAAATTCTTGTGTCTAAACCAGTGTGTTTAGGTTGGTGTCTAGTATTAAACTACCACTCCCAACATCCACGGTGATTCAAATCATATTTGAGGCTGAAGGGACTTGCAATCGAAAACACATGGTTGAGATAATGTTAGAAAACACTGCTAGAAAAGCTTCAAGTACAACACATTCTGAGAAATCAAAGTTGTGGGCATACAGTAGAGTCTCGCTTATCCAACCTTTGCTCATCCAACCTTCTGTATTATCTAACGCAGTCGGCCTTCCACCCGGATTCACAGCTGTGTCCTGATTTGCCTTTCAAGAACAGCCTTAATACCACGTTGAAAGTAAAAGAAAAATGCTTTACTTCAGCAAACACAAAAGAACAGCACATGCAGTTGAAAAATGCAAAAGGAAGCAAGGAAGTCTTAATGCAGACACAAAACTCAAGTCTCTGGTAAAGTCCAAAAGAAACAGCAGTCTTACATCAGACAATTGGTAATGATCCCTAAATCCTTCGAAGCAGACTCGAACCAGGTACAATTGGAGCCAAGACATCAGCATCAGAGTCAGCCGTGAAAGCTAACAGCTCCTTCTTCTGATGTATAACCCTGAATTCCCCATGCAGGAGGGGCTAGGGAGGCTCCCAATTACCTTGGTGTTTCTAGCAGCATTCTAGCTGAACGCTGTCTCTGTTTTGCTTCCTTTCACCTTTCCAGAAATGTGGGCACTTGCAAGACCTCATCTTCTGATTCTAACTGCCCTTCTGATTCCTGAACACTTTCCTGTTCCCCTTCATCTTTTGAAGATGAAGAATCCCTAAGAAGCTGTTTCAAAACTGCAACGATGGCCACCAATTTGTGAAGAAGCCACCACTTTGTAAGGGCTTATTAAATTGATAGCGTAGCTAATAGCTAGTAATATTGAATTGGACTTTCTTCAATTTGTAGCGTGACTTAACTTGGAAAGGATTTGTAACAGAGACCGGGCTTTAGAAGAAAATGTAACAAGTTTATTGAAATGTAGCAGAAGCTTGATGGTTTCAATGTTTCTTGACTCTTAGAGGCACATATCTTCAGAGGTTACATTTAAAACATTCCTTAAAACAACTCTGGAAAGGACTCTTCCTTCTACTAAACAGGCCTCAAACTTATTTTTCTTCAAACTGTGTTTCTTTCCTTAATAGGTTACTTCATATACAAGCTTATTCTTTCTTTGTGATATTTCTGTTGTATTAAAGATTCTCACTGTTTCTCTCACCCTTTCTACTCATACACTAACTACTAATATAAATAAGTCAACTCGACTTATCTAAACTACCTAGGCTAAAAGCCAAAGCCTTCCTGATTTTCACTACAGTAGAATCAGCCTTTCCTTGTAGTTTTTAAACTACAGACTGCTTTCCTGGTTCTCATTACTACAGAACCAGCCACTCCTGCAGTTCACAGACTACAGACTGACTGTTTTAAAATGGCTGCCCTGCCAAGTGGCAGTTGGCTCCACCCCTATTTCCATAGCAACCCAGCTCAAAGTGAGCTGAGCTGGCTACCATCCCCCCCCCCCCAGTTATGCAACTTTAAATACTTACCCTTTCAAACGCCTATCTATAACTATACATATGTCAGCTCCACTGGCTGCCGATCCAATTCCGAGCACAATTCAAACTGCTGGTTTTGACCTACAAAACCCTATACGGTTCCGGCCCAGCATATCTGTCCAAACAGATCTCCCTCTACGTCCCACCTCGGAGTTTAAGATCTTCTGGGGAGGCCCTGCTCTCGGCCCCGCCTCTATCATAAGTGGGATTGGCGGGGACGAGGAGCAGGGCCTTCTCAGTAGTGGCCCCTCACCTATGGAACTCACTCCCCGGGGAAATTAGATCAGCGACATCCCTCCTTTCCTTTAGAAGGAAATTAAAAACATGGATTTGGGAGCAGGCGTTTGGGCAACCTGGCAGATAAATAAAGGACTACAACGACGGACAGGAATAGACAATGTGGAATGAAGTATGGACTCTGAGTTGGCGAACGCTGAGCATGAGATTGGTTATTGATTGTGATACATATTGATTGTTTTAATTGTTATAATTGTTTAACTGCTGTTTTTATACGTTTTGTATTATTGTGTAGGCATCGAATTGTGCCTGTTTGTAAGCTGCCCTGAGTCCCCCCTCGGGGGTTGAGAAGGGCGGGGTAGAAGTACACGAAATAAATAATAACATAAATAAATAACAGTAGATTAAAATTCACACTTCACCACAAATACATTGCAATGTTTTGGTGCTAAATTCATAAATGCAGTCATTACTATATAATGTTACTGTTTATTCACATGCTTTTTCTGTCTATTTGTTGTAAAATATGATGTTTTGGTGCTTAATTTGTAAAATCATAACATAATTTGGCCTTTAATGAGCTTTTCGTGAATCCCTCCTGAATAACCAACATTTTCGCTTCTCCAACGTTCTGCTGGCCCATTTATATATATTGATCTGGCCGGAGTGGTCCATGCCTTGGTCACCTCTAGGTTGGATTACTGTTATGCGCTCTACGTGGGGCTGCCCTTGAAAACGGCTCGGAAATTCCAACTGGTCCAACGAGCAGCAGCCAGGATGTTAACTGGTGCTCCTTACAGAGAGAGGTCAACCCTCCTGTTCAAGGAGCTCCACTGGCTGCCATTTACTTACCGAGCCCAATTCAAGGTGCAGGTGCTCACCTACAAAGCCCTACACGGTTTGGGACCAGCCTACCTGTGTGATCGCATCTCCATTTACGAACCCACGCGTTCTCTTCGCTCATCTGGAGAGGCCCTGCTCGTGATCCCACCTGCGTCACAAGCGCGGTTGGTGGGGACACGAGACAGGGCCTTCTCTGCAGTGGCCCCCCGACTCTGGAACACCATCCCCAAAGATCTTAGACAGGCCCCTACATTGGCAGTCTTCAGAAAGAACTTGAAGACTTGGCTGTTCTGATGTGCCGTCCCAGAATAGGAAACCTCCAATACCAAGTTCCATAAGCACTTTAGTAAATTAAGATTGCCGCACACTGCACACTGCACTTGCCCTATTAGCCTTATAGTCCACCTGTCACACCAGCACTTTTTAACTCTTGTACCCATTACTTTGGCCCGGCCCAGTTTTACTGCGTCTTAGTGCATTGTTTATTATTTGTTGTTTAGTTTGCTTAACTGTTTTTAATTTGCTTTAGGTTTTGTATTGTTGTATTGTGTGTTGAGGCCTTTGTAAGCCGCATCGAGTCCTTCGGGAGATGCTAGCGGGGTACAAATAAAGTTTAATAATAATAATAATAATAATATTGGATAAGCGAGGCTCTACTGTACTAGAAACAAGAAGAGGATGCAATTTAAAGACCTAAATATAATACGATGAGACCTGCTGAATCAATTCAAAAATGCCTTCAGTGGGTCTACTTCATTTGGGATCAGCAACTGGATTGAAGCCACCGAATGCTCAGTTGGCATCACCGTGAACTAGAACCACTAACTAGCAAAGGGAGTGCTGTGGCCAGAAGAGGATGGGGTCCTGACCAGAGTCCAAGGATTGAGTTTCCAAGCACAAGGGGTAACGAAGCTATAATGACAAATGCAACAAACCTGCCAGGCGTAGCGTTGCCGAGTTCCGAATGGCTTCATTTTCTATCTCTCTGACGTGTATCTCGACGGTTGCGACCACATCTGGCCAAATTCCATCTGACACTCTGATTTTAAACTCATATGTTCCCTGAGGGGCATGATCCATCATGATCAGAGAGCCAGTCCTTTGATTCAGTTTGAAAGACCTAGAAATGCAACACAACAAGAGGGACAAACTTCACCCCCCACTTCATCCTCAAACGAGATTCTTATCACATCCGCTGGGTTTGTTTATATAAAGATCTAAAGGGTATTTTTGCAGCTAAAACATTCACTTCACAAGAACGCAGGGAGGAAAAGAGAGGCTCTTTCACCCCATTTTCCTTCCATCATCCACTCTATTTCTTGAACTGTCATGACTCAGTGTTATAAGGTGCTGAGGTTGGTAGCTCAATGAGGCACTAGCACCCTTTGGCAAAGCGGATTAAATACCTGCGAAAGTGCAATTCCCATTATTCCACTGCAGTCAGTCACATCATTTCACGTGGTGTCAAACTGTATTAATTCTACAGGTAGAAGTGCACCCTAAAGGGCTGATTGTGATGCATTTCCCTTCTCCTACCAAAGATAAGAGTTCTTTCTCCCACTCTGGACCTAATACAGATATATTGGAAACTAAGCAAGGGAGGTCTATACGAGGGTTGAATGAAAAGTAATGCCTCCACCTTCGTTACTTCGGATTGGATGGGAATATTTTAATAAATCAAACTCAGAAATAATCCTTAGTACGTGCTCTTTAACTACCACTATTCACTTTTTCACATAATCACCAGACAACTGGATACATTTCTGCCAACGATGAACAAGGTTCTTGTAGGTTTTTTCGGGCTATAGAGCCATGTTCTAGAGGCATTCTCCTGACGTTTCGCCTGCATCTATGGCAAGCATCCTCAGAGGTTGTGAGGTCTGTTGGAAGTAGGAAAAATGGGTTTATATATCTGTGGAATGGCTGGGGTGGGCAAAGAGCTCTTCTCTGGAGCTAGGTGTGAATGTTTCAACTGACCACCTTCATTAGCATTTGAAGGCTGGGCTGAGCCTGGGGGAATCTTTGTTGAGAGGTGTTAAGATGTGCCTGGTTGTTTCCTCTCTGCTGTTTTGCTGTTGTAATTTTAGAGTTCTTTTTTAATACTGGTAGCCAGATTTTGTTCATTTTCATGGTCTCTTCCTTTCTGTTGAAATTGTCCACATGCTTGTGGATTTCAATGGCTTCTCTGTGTAGTCTGACATGGTGGTTGTGAGAGTGGTCCAGCATTTCTGTGTTCTCAAGTAATATGCTGTGTCCAGGCTGGTTCATCAGGTGCTCTGCTATGGCTGACTTCTCTGGTTGAAGTAGTCTGCAGTGCCTTTCATGTTCCTTGATTCGTGTTTGGGCAATGCTGCTGCGTTTGGTGGTCCCTCTGTAGACTTGTCCACAGCTGCATGGTACACAATGGTAGACTCCTGCAGAGGTGAGAGGATCCCTCTTGTCCTTTGCTGAACGCAGCGTTTGTTGGATATTCTTGGTGGGTCTGTAGATTGTGTTTCCTCATCAGCTTCCCTCTGCGGTCAGTGGTTCCCTTGATGTCTGGCAAGAACACTTTCCCTCTGGGTGGATCTTCATCTTTACTCTCGTGGCTTGTTCTTGGTCTTGCAGCTCTTCTGATGCCTGAGGTGGAGTCTCCATTGGCCTGGAGAGCCCAGTTGAGGTGGTTCAGTTCATCTTGGAGGAGGTGGGCTTCACAGATTCTTTTTGCACGGTCTGCCAAGGCTTTCATGCTGCTTTTTTTTTGACTTGGGTGATGGTTGGAGTTTTTATGTAGATATCTTTGTGTGTGGGTTTTCTGTAGACGGTGTGACCCAATTGTTGATCTCTTTTGCGGATAACTAGGACATCTAGAAAAGGCAGACTTCCTTCATTTTCCTTTTCCATTGTGAATTGGATTTTTGGGTGGATGCTGTTAAGATGGTCCAGTTTTTTGAAGCCATCACGGAAGAAGTCAACACTCTGTTTCCGCAACCAGCGTCTCACAGTTCTCTCATCCTGAGTACCCATCGTGCACAGACATTCTGATAGCCAAGCAAAGCAATAATGTGACCCACATGTTCTTGTGAAATGCCAATTATGCTTGAAATTTCTCTCTGAGTGATACGACGATCGTCCTGAATTAATCTGTCAACCTTTTCCTTGTGAAACTCGGTCACAGGATGTCCAACTCTTTCTTTGTTATGCAAGTCAGATGTTCCCACCTCAACATCTTTAAACAACAACGCACAGTCCTCACATCAACACAATCCCTATAAACAGCTTGCATTCTCTGATGAATCTCCTTTGGGGTGACCCCTTCTGCTGTCAAGAATTCAATGACTGCACGTTGCTTAAGTCGCATTGACACACTGTCTGCACAGAGTTCCATACTTCGCACTTTAACAACACAACCATTCAATTCTAAGGCTTCCTGCCAAAATGAAACTGTAGAGGAGAGTCTACTGAACAAGCCAGTACCTGCCGCATACCAGTACTGCCGTCTGTTGAGGAGTTACGAAGGGGGAAGCATTACTTTTCATTCAATCCTCGTATATCTCACAACCTGCCATAGATGTGGATGAAACATCAGGAGAGAATGCTTCTGGAACATGAACAGATGGCCCGGAGAACTCACAGCAACACATTGTTGTTGTTGTTGTTGTCGTTGTCATTATTACTGTTTTCTCCTGGCGTTTCGCCCATGTCTTTGGCTGGCATCACTGCAAACTAGTACTTACTTTGCTGGCAGGTGTCCAGGCTTGTGGAGGCTATTCATTCAGGAGGTCCATCTCCCACAATAGTTCCCCCCCCCCTTTCTTTTCCTAGTTATTTTTCCGTCGTTCTGGACCAATTCACAAAACCACCCAACAGGGAAGGGAAAGTAAGCTATTGCTTCACTTCCTACATTCTACCTTCTCTGGAGGCCAGAGGGAAACCAAAAGCAAGACCAGGACGAGAGCACAAGATTGAAGCTTGAAGCTTCCTAGGATACGGGCTTAGCTCTCGATACCAATTGGCATACGGAAAGACTCAACAACAAGCACTGGGATGGAAGACAAAGGAGTCACAGAACATGACATAGGATGCACGTTTGTCATTCACACATTGTCATCTCCATTCTGGGGTTGCAACATGGAGATCCTATGGCTGGGTCAACCGGGCAGTGGGGATATCCAGCTGCCTACCCTGGATGGTGAGGCGCTACGCCCGTCATCGTTGGTCAAGAGTCTGGGAGTCCTTTTGGACCCTCTGCTGAGGATGGAGGCCCAGGTCTCCGCCGTGAGCAGAACCGCCTTCTTTCACCTGCGGCAGGCTAGACGGCTGGCTCCCTACTTGTCCAGGGATGACCTAGCTACGGTGATCCAGGCCACGGTCATCTCAAGACTGGACTACTGTAACACCCTCTACATTGGCCTTCCTCTGTCGGTGATCCGGAAGCTCAAGTTGGTACAAAATGCAGCCGCTCGGCTTCTTGCGGGAATTCCGATGAGATGCCACATCACCCCAATCTGACTGCAGCTGCATTGGTTACCCATTGAGTGATGGTACTCACCTTTAAGACCTTGCATGGTCTGGGGCCAAGGTACCTGAGGGACCGCCTCATCCCCCACCGACCCCAGAGATCCCTCCGTTCTGAGGACCAAGATCTGTTGGAATTTCCCAGTGTCAAGACCTTGCATCTAACAGCCACCAGACGCAGAGCCTTCACAGCAGTGGCACCATCACTCTGGAACACTCTGCCACCTGAAGTTCCTGCCTTGTAGGACTTATCAGCTTTCCACTGGGCATGCAAGACATATCTGCTTCGTCAGGCCTTTGATTGTTGATTTGCTGTTTTTAAATTGTTTTTAAATTGTTTTAAATTGTGTAGATTTTAGTCATTCTTGTAAGCCGCTCCGAGCTCCAGGGGAGTGGCAGCATAGAAGTTCAAATAATAAATAAATAAATAAATAAATAAATAAATAAATAAATAAACACAGAGATGGCGGGACGAACGGGCCTCCTCCATCAGCCTTGCTTCAGACTTTGACTTTTGGAGGACTTGATATTCAGCGACAAGGACAACAACAGAAAAATGACTGATAAGTGCCCACTACTAGTTTAAAAGAGGCTGCCTTCTCTGTAGCAAACAATAATCCCATCTCTATACACATAAGATACCTAACAAAGCGTAAGGAAATCATTACAGGAGCATACATCTTAAATATTATCCCACTTGACACAAATACAATCCTCACTTGTGCATTTTTTCTTCGGGGACAAATGTCTTATTGTCCCAGTCATCCTGATCGGGCGCAAACACTTCCCCGAGCACTATGGTTGACCATTTTCCTGTTGAAATAAATTATAATAATTCTGCATTAATTTTCTGATTTCCCAAGAGCTTTATATGTCATCACATTTTATTACGGCATTCATCATTTTTATTACCATTTGGCTTTCACAAAGGTTATGATCCAAGGCATTTCAAGTAATGCGGTAGCAAATACTCTGATTTTTTTTTCTGCTGTAAAGCAGGAAAGCTGGAGCACAAATAGGACACATGCACACGCATAGCACACGCACTCTGGTCTTCAATAAAATAAAGGATGATTGCTGCGCCAAGTGAACTCCAAATTCCAATAGGAATAACGCTGACTTCAGCAGCATGAATGTATTATCAAGGAGAGCCATAACTATTTCCTAACTGCAGACTTTGCTGATTTGGTAAGATTTAATCTTGCCAAAACTCACACAGCTGCCAGAAACATAGAACCATGCAGAACATGGGAAAATTTATTTATTTATTTATTTTATTTCGATCTTTTATAACCCGGTCTTCTCGACCTCCGAAGAGGGACTCAGGCCGGCTAACAGCAGAGGGTTAAAATACAATAAGATAAACCACAGTAAACATCATAACACAATAGTACAAAAATACATTAAATACAATTATACAACTTACAAAGGGTCAGTTCGTCAGAATAAATCACAAATTCATCGCCATCCGCCCGTGTGGTCAGCAGATACTGACTCAATCATCATTCTGCAAAAGCTGTATTCCAAATCCATGTCTTTACCAGCTTTCTAAAAGTCAGGAGGGAAGGGGCAGATCTAATCTCCATCAGGAGGGAGTTCCACAGCCGAGGGGCCACCACCGAGAAGGCCCATCCCTCGTTTCCACCAATCGCGATTGCGAAGAAGGTGAGACCGAGAGCAGGGCCCCTCCAGAAGATCTTAATAACGTTGATGGTTCGTAGGGGAGAATCCGTTCGGACAATTAAAACTTGTGCGCCAGCTGCGTCCGTACCTTGGGAAGTCTGATCTGGCCACAGTGGTCCACGCTCTGGTTACATCCCGTATAGACTACTGCAACGCTCTCTACGTGGGGTTGCCTCTGAAGACTGCCTGGAAGCTTCAACTAGTCCAACAAGCGGCAGCCAGATTACTAACAGGAGCCGGGTACAGGGAGCATACTACTCCTCTGCTGCGTCAGCTCCATTGGCTGCCGATTAGCTTCCGGGCACAATTCAAAGTGCTGGTGTTGACTTATACATCCCTAAATGACTCCGGCCCAGTTTACCTGTCCGAACGGATTCTCTCCTATGAACCATCAAGGTTGTTAAGATCTTCTGGAGGGGCTTTGCTCTCGGTCCCACCTCCTTCGCAATCACGTGGGGACGAGGGACAGGGCCTTCTCGATGGTGGCCCCTTGGCTCTGGAACTCTCTCCCGACTTTGGGATACTGCATTTGCAGACTGATGATCAAGTCAATAACGGCTGACCACACTAAAGGCGGATGGTGATGAATTTGTGATTTTACTCTGATGACCTGGCTTTTGTAATTGTATGATCTGTATTTTAATGTATTTTTGTATCAATGCATTATGATGCTATTACGTTTATTCTATGTGTGCATGAATTTTCCGCTGTTAGCCGACCTGAATCCCTCTTCGGAGGTCGAGAAGGCCGGGTTATAAAAGCTCTAAATAAATAAATAAATAAGATCTTGGAAATCAGAGTTGACAAATATTTTTGCAAATAAATTGACCCATTTTGTCAAGCGAGTCTGCTCTATCTAGAACTGGAGGAAATAATTACAACCACTCTGGCATACATAATTCATCTGCCAAGGGATTCCTAGCACGTCTAAGCAAACGACGATTTCTAATGTTCCTGGTAGGAGACTACTACAGAGACATTGCACACATTGTATGTCAACAAAGTCAACATTGACACCGAAATACAACACCGCCTGAGCTCTGCGAGTGTAGCATTTTTTCCAAATGAAGCAGAGAGTGTTTGAGGACGGGACATCCGTAGGGATACCAAGGTGCTTGTTTATAAAGCTATTGTCCTCCCAACCCTGCTATATGCCGAAACGTGGACTGTCTACAGACGTCACATGCAACTCCTGGAACGATTCCATCAGCGCTGCCTCTGAAAATCCTGCAAATCTCTTGGGAAGACAAGCGGACAAACGTCAGCGTGCTGGAAGAAGCAAAGACCACCAGCATTGAAGCGATGGTCCTCCGCCATCAACTCCGCTGGACCGGCCACGTTGTCCGGATGCCTGACCACCGTCTCCCAAAGCAGTTGCTCTACTCCGAACTCAAGAACGGAAAACGGAATGTTGATGGACAGGAAAAGAGATTGAAAGATGGGCTCAAAGGCAACCTTTAAAACTCTGGCATAGACACTGAGAACTGGGAAGCCCTGGCCCTTGAGCGCTCCAGCTGGAGGTCAGCTGTGACCAGCAGTGCTGCAGAATTTGAAGAGGCACGAATGGAGGGGAAAGAGAGAAACGTGCCAAGAGGAAGGCGCATCAAGCCAACCCCGACAGGGACTGCCTTCCACCTGGAAACCGATGCCCTCACTGTGGGAGAAGATGCGGGTCAAGAAGAGGGCTCCACAGCCACCTACGAACCCACAAAAATAGTCATCAAGGAAGACCATCTTACTCGTCCAACGAGGGATCGCCTAAGTAAGTGAGTACATTGTATGTATATGGAGCTACCATTAATAGGGTACCTACCTCGGTGTATGTAAACATAGATGATCTTATGGCCAGGTTCATGGCTGTTATCGTTTTCATCTCCGATGGTGATAGCCAAGACGTTTGTGGAGCTCATGGGTGGACTCCCACTATCAGCTATCACAATGGGGATATGGAACATTTTCTGCTTTTCTCTGTCAAAAGACCGCAGAGCAGTGATTGTTGCCGTGTTATTTCCATTGTCAGTAAGAGAGAAATCCAACGGGTTCTGATAATCTGGAGGCAAGGAAAATACAAAGGGTGGTCCATTTTCATCGCTGTCGGGATCAAAAGCCCAAATTAAATTCGAGGTGGTGTTCATATCAACCAGCTGAGGTCCAGGACTATTTTCCCAGACCACAGGCATGTACGACGCCTCAAACCTTGGCCCGTTATCATTGACATCGAGCAAGTCAATCAATATTGTAACACTTCCAGTTTGGGCAGGGACGCCTTGATCGGCAGCCTGAACAATCAAGCCGTAGGCCTGAGTGGCTTCCCTATCCAAGGCTTTGGACACAGTGACATGGCCATCTTGATCCACCACAAACTGTCCAGCGGGATCCGAATCCAACTGGATGGAATACTCAATGTCGCCATTCAAATTGGAGTCCTCATCGGTGGCTGTCACCGTGATGATGGTGGTCCCCACTGGGATGTTTTCATAGAAAGGGCTGAGCTGAACCAACTGGGAACTAAAAACAGGGCTGTGGTCATTGCAGTCTTCCACCTCAATCAAACAGAAGGCAATGCTAGAAAAATCCAGGTCTTCGACTTTGATGGTCAGGTTGAACCACCTTTCCTGGATCTCCTCATAATCCAGGGTCTTCTTCAGCCGGAGAGATGCACGCTGATCTTCTTTATGGTTTTCAATGTAAAACCTTCCATCGGGATCTCCCCCAATAATACTGAAAGTCAAAAGTGCATTTTCCCCACTGTCTCCATCCACGGCTGATATCTCTAGAACCTCTGAGTCAACCGTGCTGGCTTCAGGAATGACAACGTGCCAAACATCCTGGGTGAAACTTGGGATGTGGTCATTCACGTCCGCGACCCAGATGGTGGCTGTGCCCGTTCCCGTCAGTCCTCCTCCATCTTTTGCTTCAATCACAAGGACATACTTGTCTGCTGTTTCTCTGTCCATCATCCCTCCTGTCACATAGATGTTGCCAGTGCTGGGATTGATCTTGAACACGTCCATATCAAAGTCATTTTTGACATTCTCCACTATTCGATACGTCAAAATGGCGTTCAGACCGACATTTGTGTCATCCAAGTCTGTCGCTGTCATCTCCATGATGAAGGTGTCTTCAGGAGAATTCTCAAAGACGGTCCCATTGCAGTTGCTGGGCATACAGGGGAAGACTGGAGCATTGTCATTGATGTCCCAGATGTTTATTATCACATCTGCAAAGCCAGTGAGTCCTTCTCCTCCTTCATCGGTGGCCAACACAACAAATCTCCAAAGGGCCCGCTCTTCTCTGTCGAGGATCTTCTGGGAATAGATGCTGCCTGTGTTCTCATCGATGGCAAAGACATCGTCTGCACCAAGACCATGCAAGGAGTATCTTATGTCACCACCATCCAGGGCGCTGTCAGGATCGTTGGCTACAACCTAGAGAAATGGAAGTTGGGAAAGGAAGAACTCTAGTAACCACACGATAGAATGTCACCACATCACAGACCAATTTGGAACAAAGGGCAATAACTAATGATGAACTACACAGAAGCAGAAACCAAATAGCATCCCCATGAAAGAGTAGGAAAAGCAACTTTCAGAACACTGCAGGCTACATTTTTTTTCATGTCAGGAACAACCTGAGAATCTGCAAGTCGCTTCTGCTGTGTGAGAATTGACTGTCTGCAAAGACGCTGCCCAGGGGACATTGCCCAAATTATTATTATTGTTGTTGTTGTTATCAAAACATCAAAAAACATCCGGGCGTCCCCTGAACAACGTCCTCACAGACGGCCAATTCTCTCACACCAGAAGCAACTTGCAGTTTCTCAAGTCAATCCTGACACAACAAAATTTATTATTATTATTATTATTATTATTATTATTATTATTATTAGTAGTAGTAGTAGTAGTAGTAGTATTGTTATTTTACTAGGAGCCCCCTGTGGCTCAGTGGGGTAAATCCCTGTGCCAGCAAGATTGAAGACCGACAGGTCACAGGTTCGAATCCGGGGAGAGCACGGATGAGCTCCCCCTATCAGCTCCAGCTCCTTATGCGGGGACATGAGAGAAGCCTCCCACAAGGATGACAAAACATCAAAAAACATCCGGGTGTCCCCTGAACAACGTCCTCGCAGACGGCCAATTCTCTCACACCAGAAGCGACTTGCAGTTTCTCAAGTCAATTCTGACACAACAAAAATTATTATTATTGTTGTTGTTGTTTTTGTTGTTGTTATTGTACTAGGAGCCCCCTTTGGCGCAGTGGGTTAAATCCCTGTGCCAGCAGGACTGAAGACCAACAGGTCGCAGGTTCGAATCCGGGGAGAGCACGGATGAGCACTGATTCTCAAGGGCGGTCTGATTGCTCAGCGTTTTCACTGCTAACCTAGCTGGTCTCTTTCTGACTTCTTTCTCCCTTTGTTGCCCTTTTTTCATGTCAAGTGCGACTTGAGAAACTACAAGTCGCTTCTGGTGTGAGAGAATTGGATGTCTGCAAGGTCATTGCCCAGGGGATGCCCGGATGTTTTGCCATCCTTGTGGGAAGCTTATCTCATGTCCCTGCACAGGGAGCTGGAGCTGACAGAGGGCGCTCATCCGTGCTCTCCCCGAATTCGAACCTCCGACCTGTCGGTCTTCAGTCCTACCGGCACAAGGGTTTAACCCACTGCACCACCAAGGGCAATCAGAGTATCCCTGACAGATGTCCACCCAGCCTCTGTTTAAAAGTTTCCAAGGAAGGAGAACTGTTCACCTAACAACCCAATGTATGTCCTTCACTCAAAAAAATTATTTTGTCATTTGGAAGTTGTAGTTGCTGGGATTTATAGTTCACCTACAATTAAAGAGCATTCTGAACCCCACCAACAAGAAAATTGGGCCAGACTTCCCACACAGTTCTCCCATGACCAACAGAAGATACTGGAAGGGTTTGGTGGGCAGTGTCCCCCTCCAAGGTTTTGGAGTTGTAGTTCACCTACATCCAGAGAGCACTGTGGATTCAAACAATGGTGGATCTGGACCAAACTCTACACGAGTTCTCAATATGTCCAAATGTGAACACTGGTGGAGTTTGGGGAAAATAGAATCTTGACATTTGGGAGTTGTAGTTGCTGGGATTTGTAGTTCACCTACAATCACAGAGCCTTCTGAACCCCACCAATGATAGAATTGGGTCAAACCTCCCACACAGAACCCCCATGTGGGCCACAGCAACGTGTGGCCCAGGGAAAGCTAGCATTTATATAAATAAAAATGTAATGTTCGTTTGTGGGATTAACATAACTGAAAAACTACTGGACGAATTGACACCAAATTTGGACACAAGACACGTATCAGGCCAATGAGTGACCATCGCTCATATAAACACTGAAAAACACAGCAGAAGACACTTAAAAAGCCAAAAAAGCAAGAAGACGCTACATTGCAAGCGCAAAACCATATATATACACAAACACACATATATACACAAATATATACACGCATATATATATGCATACACACACACACAAACACATATACACAGACTGGGCCACAGCAACATTTGGCAGGGGATGGCTAGTGTGTGTGTGTGTGTGTGTGTGTGTGTGTATGTATGTATATGTATATATATATAACTGCTAAACGATTTCCAAAAGTAATGTGTTAGGACCATGATGGCAAACCTATGACACGTGTGTCAGCATTGACACGCGTAGCCATTTTCGATGACACACAGCCGCATGCGGCCGCATACAGAGAAGATGGGGCCACATCCCAAGAAGGACATTTCATCCTCAGCTCCTACACCAGCATTTTTCTATAATGCTGAGATATATGGCATTATAGAAAAAGCAGGTAACTTAAATAATTAGTTTTTGGTTTATTAAATACAGTTACATATTACAATAATATATTTTTCTTATTAAACTATAAATACCTTGAAATTATGGGTTTTTCTCGAAGTGACATCCCACTCGAGTTATGCTCGCTTTTTTGGCAAGTATTGACACACCAAACTCAAAAGGTTGCCCATCATTGCTCTAGGATTATAATGCAGTAGAATTATGCCTACTGACTTTTGCAGATTTGGTTATTCATGGATTTGATGAAATGCTCTAAGACATCAAGTGCAACTGTACTGTCAGCCTCAACCAGATGTTGACTATTGTCACACTAAAGGGCCTAGAGATTCCTACAGAGAACATACGTCTAGTCCTCCAGTGGAATTCTATGGTCCACCTTTTGTGGCCATAGAGTTGTGTTGGGAGGACTGTCGGCCTTCAGTCCTGCAGGCACAAGGGTTCAACCCATTGCGCCACTGGGGACTCCTGATTGGAAATGGAGAGTAGAGATATTTGGGCACTGTGCTTCAACAGCACAGTGATTGAAAGATGGGCTCAAAGCCAACCTTAAAAACTGTGGCATAGACACTGAGAACTGGGAAGCCCTGGCCTGTGAGCACTCCAGCTGGAGGTCAGCTGTGACCAGCAGTGCTGCAGAATTTGAAGAGCATGAGTGGAGGGTGAAAGAGAGAAACGTGCCAAGAGGAAGGCGCATCAAGCCAACTCTGACCGGGAACACCTTCCACCTGGAAACCAATGCCCTCACTGTGGGAGAAGATGCAGGTCAAGAATAGGGCTCCACAGTCACCTACGGACCCACCAACAGAACACTCAACTTGGACGACAATCTTGCTCGGACAATGAGGGATCACCGAAGTAAAGTGTAGATCAACAGCGGTATTACTGCAGCAACAACAACAGCAGCAACAACAACAACAACCCCTTGTCTTCAGGGATGCATAGCAGCAAAGGGGCACAGCTCAAGCCAGGCCTACTCCTATGGGGCTGGAGGAGATCAAGGGGGATGTGGCAGACTGCCGATGTTGGAACGCGCTCACTATGATGTGGAGGAGCATACCCAAATATACCTGAAGAACAAAGACTGGAAGTCCATCCAGTTCCTCAATCACACTTCCGTAATATTCATTGAGAGCAAAAACAGGCGCTTCGTCGTTTTTATTCACAATGTTGATGATAACAATAGCGTAATCCTCCCATTTCCCATCCGAGGCCAGCAAGTGAAGTTCGTACAGCTGGGCTTCTTCATAATCCAATGGCCGGGCAATGAAGATGGCGCCCATTTCGGGCTCAACGTCAAAAACTCCTCCAGTATTTCCAGCTGTAATTTGGTACCTTAGCTTTGCATTGGTTCCTAAAAATGGAGAACGGGAGATAAAAGATATTTCACACAAGGCCAAGATGATGATGATGATTATTATTATTATTATTATTATTATGTCTTACAATTAAGAGGCACCCTGCTTGCAAGGCCTTTCTTTAAGGGCACCCAGAAGTACGTATTTTGCTTGACACGCAGGTGTCGGTGGTGGCCGGGAGGGCCTTCGCACAGTTAAAACTTGTGCGCCAACTGCGACCTTACCTTGTGAAGTCTGACTTGACCATGGTGGTCCATGCCTTAGTTACCTCTAGATTGGATTACTGTAATGCTCTCTATGTGGGGCTACCCTTGAAGATGGCCCGGAAATTACAACTTGTCCAACATTCAGCAGCCAGACTAATAACTGGGGCGACTTACAGGAGTGGTCAACCCCCCTGTTTAAGGAGCTCCACTGGCTGCCATTTATTTTCCAATTCAAGGTGCAGGTTATTACCTATAAAGCCCTAAACAGTTTGGGACCCGCCTACCTTCGTGACCGTATCTCTCTCCATGAACCATCTCGGGCCCTCCGTTCTTCTGGGGAGGCCCTCCTTTCGCCCCCACTAGTCTCCCAGACTCGCTTGGTGAGTACAAGGAAGAGAGCCTTTTCCTCAGTAGCTCCCTGACTCTGGAACTCACTCCCTGGAGAGATTAGGAAAGCCCCTACCCTAGAAACCTTTAAAAAGAACCTCAAAACCTGGCTCTTCCTCTGCGCATTTGATGAGTAGATCTACATCCTCATACTAGTGTTTAGTTTAACAGTTTTTGTTATTGGAGTGCATTCCCCGCTATAGGAAAGTTTTGCTCCACGACCTCCACTAAAACGAGCTCTCCTCCGCAAATAATCTGCGTTGCTTAATCTTGTGTTTATCTCGCCTGAATTTTTAATCTGTTTCTACCCAGTTTTCTTTTATCCATTACATGTAGCTCGCCCATGTTATTGCGATTGTGTTTATTGTAATTTTATATTGCTGTGTTGTCTTTTGTTTTATGTAATTGAGTTATTATTGTTTATTATTTGCGTTTTCAGTTTTGTTTTATTTCATGCAATTGTTGCTTTGGGCTCGGCCTCATGTAAGCCGCACCGAGTCCCCATCGGGGAGATGGAGCGGGGTACAAATAAAGTTTATTATTATTATTATTATTATTATTATTATTATTATTACATAAAGAATGTATTGTGGAAAAGGAATTCTAATAATTACACGGCCCAACCCAAAACATTTTTGTCTTGGTGTCTCAGTTTTCAGACCTGTTCTAAATGTGGATGTTTTGTTTATTTATTAATTAAATTTATTTAAAACTTTTATATCCCGATCTTCTCGACCTCCGTAGAAGGACTCAGTCCGGCTGTTTAGATTTATGTTATTATAGAATTTGGTCTGATTACGTGTAGTTTGATTTATGGATATCAGGTTTTATTTATAAAGTTAGGTCTTAATTCATTCATTCATTCATTTATTTATTTAGAACTTTTATATACTGGTCTTCTCACCTCCAACGAGGAACTCAGGATGGTTTACAACAAGGGGGTTCACACACAATAGTTTAAAAACATCACATCAATAATACACTAATATAAACACATTAAAGAACTATCATATAAATTATATAAAGCCAATTTGATGTTAGGCTTTAATACTACTTTTATATGTGGGGGTTTTCTGGGATTTTACGTTATCATATGTTTTATGTAGGCATTGAATGTTTGCCATTGTTATGCTGGAATTCAGAAAATTGCATTGGATAGACCACATCTGCTCTAGTTTCTTAGATATAGTTATCATGGTTTCCATGGGAAATGTGGTGGACTACGGAGGCAGGTGTGTCTATAGAGATTGGCCGGGAGGGTCAAGATAGCCACCTGTGGACTTGTGGGAGTGTTAGAACACAAGTTGTTTTTACTCTCTAGGGGACAGGGTATCTTAGCTATTAAGGATCTCTGTGAGGAGGGAAGCTAGATACTCTGGGGACAGCCAGGATTGGTTTGTCAGAGGGACTCATTGCTACTAGGTTTAAGGTAGAGTGAGGGAACTTGCTCACGTTAAAGAAAAGAAACCCAGTTAAGGAAACCATCAAGCTTGTTAAGACCAAGAAACCATTTAAGAAGATTGTGCTTTGTTAACCAAATACGCTTGTGTACCTCTTAGAAGACGTTAGTTGTGTGTTCAAGTATACAAATAAACTTTGTTCTAGTTCAACCTTCAAAGCAGCCTCAGCATTGAATCATTCCATAGAATCTGTTCCAGCAATTTGTAACATCTTTTTACCTCAGACATTTTAAAGGGAGTTAAAGGAGGGGGCTGGTGAACAACGGGGTTTACCTCAGGCATAACATCAAGATAATTTCTCAAATCCATTTGAGTGGTGGCAGCAACTATACCAATACACATTCACGTTTCCTCAACACACATCAAAGCGTTTTGGGACAGGATTGTGTTGGTGTCCAATTGGAGCCGTAGTAATCAAAAAATCCTTTACACTGATTCTTCAAAGTGGTGGCCAGCTGTGTGCTATATATCAGCTGAAGGAACGTGTGTGTGTGTGTGTGTGTGTGTGTGTTAGGGAATTGATTAGTGAAGTATTAATCCCCTGACTACATTATAAGGAGGAGGAAGAGGAAGTAGGAAGAAGAAGAGGTGGCAGACACATCACAAATCCCCATATTTCAGGAACAAGGAAGGGAGAAAGAAGTCAGAAGGAGACCAGCTAGGTTAGCAGTGAAAACGCTGAGCAATCAGACTGCCCTCGAGACAGCTGTGCTGGGAGCTCAAGGCTATAAATTAGCAGCAAAGTCAGGGGCTCAGTGCTGGCAGCAACTGACCTACTTTGGAGGAGTTCCTGTTCCAAGCAACGTGCTTCCACTCCAGCATCGGTCCTTGCTGACGGCTCTTGGCTAATGACGTTTGTTTCTGCAACCCGTCAGCCTGTTTAGCAAAGACCCTCGTTGTGGTCTGATGTGAAGACTTTTGCTTTACATTTGCTTGAAGACTGTGCATTACCTTTGGGACTGTATTTTTTGCTTCACAGTAAAGCCTTTCATTTACTTTCTCTAAGGATGTTTCTGGTGGAAAACTGGACAGGCAAGCAGATGGAGACTGGTAGATGGCATAAGTTCTGTAGTGCAAAAACTAGAGCCGATGGGAGGAAACCGGTGCCATTTTTGGAATCAGCAGGTCAAATATACCCAAACGAGGTACCAAATTATGTGTGTTGGCCAGTGTTAGAAATCATTCAAATTGTAAAATAATTTTAATTATTTACATGAATCCCCATTAATGAATTCCATATTTATTAGATGCCTGCCTGCATCTTTCAAATTTTAATTACACTGTTCTACAAATTTTCAGTTTTTCTCCGTTTCGGAAACGAAATGTGCCGTTTCTTAATAAATTTAACATGCTGAATTCAAATATAATAATTAAATGTGTTAATTGGCTCTGGTTTTTATGCAACAGCTATTTCAATTTTCTCCACAATAGGTAATTCGTTAATATTATGATAATGCGCCTAACCTTACTGCATGTATATAAACCGTGAATATTTACTAAATTTTAGTCAAATTCTATTGCCAATAGTTTATACATGAGAAATATTTATTTAATTAGTCTATTGTTTATGTTTGTGCAGCAAGAAACTCTATTAGTAGGCCTAATGCAGTTGAAAAGTCTGAAAGTTGAAATGTCGCTTTAATCATGACTTTAGTTTATATCCTGTTTGCTTCTCTTGACTTTTCTTTGGTATTCAAGAAAAGGATTCCCTCTTCCAATGCTCCAGCAATAGTCTGACAGCATGGACGGAGTCCATTGGCCTTGATCTCTTTTTTCCAGAGTGCTTTATTGACACACGTGCGAGGCATAACTACAGTAAAAAGAACCATGTAAAACGATGTTTAACGAGACTGTCTCAGTCTTCAACTGACTGACCCTCACCGTTCAAAAGTCTGACCTTATAGGGCTTTCTGGCTTTTGCACACGGCACTAATACTGCATCATCAAACTTTCTAGAATATTCTAGAATCTTCCATAGTGTAAGTCGCAACATGCATTTTTTCAACCATACGTGATCACGTGATTGCTTCTATCATAAAAACTGGAGCCAATATACATTTTTAAATGTCATTTTCGTTTTCAGCACCCCAAAATCATAAAAGAACAACTATTTTCAGGCCCGCAACTTTTTCTCCATTGAACAGTGTTATCAGTTTTAATTATCAAGGAGCCCCCGATGGTGCAGTGGGTTAAACCCCTGTGCTGACAGGACTGAAGACCGACAGGTCGCAGGTTCGAATCCGGGGAGAGGCGGATGAGCTCCCTCTATCAGCTCCAGCTCCTCATGCGGGGACATGAGAGAAGCCTCCCACAAGGATGATAAAAACATCAAATCATCTAGGCGTCCCCTGGGCAACATACTTGCAGACGGCCAATTCTCTCACACCAGAAGCGACTTGCTCCTGACATGACAAAAAAATAATAATCCGTTTTGTGGGTGATACAATTAGATGGTTTTGTGTTTTGCAAACACTGTGCTACATCTGTTGAAGCAACGGTCTTCAATTAGCGGGTCACACCAAAATAGATTGTGTTAGTAGTATCTGGTCCAGAGAATCCCAATTTAAAGGACAAAGCTGCTGTAGTTATAGTGGTATCAGACTCCAATGTGGACATACCCCCACCTGTGCTGCCAGCATGGCCTGCTGTTGGAGTTCAGCCTGTGATTGTGTTTCAGGATCAGGATGCTTTGGATGTGGGAAGTGATGCTAATGAATTTCAAGATGGCAATGGTTTGGGCAATGATACTGATGTAGAGAAGGACCAAAAGACCCCTGTGCAAAGTGTAGTTTCCCATGAGAATGTCCCTGAAGGGTGTGGGAATGATGGTGCCCTCCTTGAATTGCTACTAGAGAGTTCCCAGAATTTGGGGCTTGAAAACAACTGGGCACCTGGCCCCAGCTGCAAAATTTAATGAGCAAATAGAGGTTAGTCAAAACAGGCAGACCCAACAGTGGCTTTGGCGGTCTGCCAGGATCCAACAGAGAATGATAAGGGAATCTCAATTAAAGCGAAACCAATTTCTGAGTGCTTGATATAGTTTAATGAGGGGATAAAAGTTGCAAGTATGGGAAATATAGTCAGATGAAGCATCATTTGGAATCAAGTGTAGTTCTCGTCCTTGTTCATGGAAACCTTGCTTAGAAGATTCTTGCCTAAGTATTTCTTGTTTCTTGGTTTGGATTCTTGTATTGTATGAATGCATTCTCATGCCTTGGATTAATGTTTCCTGGTTTTCTGAATTATATTAGAGAAGTGTGGACTTTGCTGAACTTTACCCTGGATTATTTTTGTTCCTGCTTATCTTCTTACCTAATTGGATTTACCAATTTCTTTAAAGTGTTTTTTACTTGATGCTTTTTAATTATCTTTAATAAAAGGATTGTTTTCCAATCAATGGTGTGGTGTTTACAGTCAGAGGGCTTTTCCTGTCCTGGAGTGCCATAAATACTTGCTACAAGACCTCATGCGCCCATTATTGAAGCAAACTTGCAATCTGTCAAGCTGAAGACATGAACGTTGCCTTTCAGCCACAGAGAAGCCCTTAAATAAATAGAGATAGATGAAAGAGCTGTTCCCCCATGAAAATATGGCCTTCACGCTCCTGAGAAATGAACTCATTAATATTTCAGGTGCCGCGACTTGGAATTCTGAAGGGTTTACCTTCGTCTTCATCATTAGCACTGACGGTAATGACAGTCGATCCAACATCTTGGTCTTCATCCACATTGACTTCATAGACATTCTTGGTAAAAGAAGGCTTGTTGTCGTTCACATCACTAATAAAAACCCGCACGTAGGCCGTGTCTAGAGAGACGGGGGAACGAGAGATTAAAATCCTTGGCTGTGCCACTTCTGTCAGCTGCAATTCCTAAAACTGTCTCGCCGCACATTAAATGAAGACGAATAACACAGACAATGCAGAAACTAACCCTTAGGGTTGTGGGACAATTTATAATACCAACATTACTCAGAAAAGCACTTGGATATCAAATGAATGTCACATTCAATTTGTCTAAGCAGATAACACGTGAAGAACTGATGTCTAACGTGGCAATTGTATGGTTGCATCGTACGTTTCCCATCCTCGAGCCTCGCGGGCCCAATTTAACTCCTTCTTTGAGAACGCAGCAAAAGTCCCTTGACCATCAGATGGTCTTGGAATAGCCTGCCCGTTGCCTATTGCTTTGTTGTGCTGCTGGCTGTGATAGAAGGACCATATGGTAGACCATAGAAATATATACACACATATATGCACACACAAAACACATACACAGAACGGGGGAAAGAAGGAAGGAAGGAGAGAAGGAGAGAGAGAAAGAGGCAAAGAAGGAGAGAAGGAAGGAAGGAGAGAAGGAAAAAAAGTGAAAGAGGGAAGGAAGGAGAAAAGGAATGAAAGAAAGAAACAGGGAGAGAAGGAAGGAAGGAAAGAGAAAAGGAAGGATGGAACCAAAGAGCAAAGGAAGCGAGAAAAGAAACAGGTAGAGAAGGTAGAAAGAAGAAGGGGGGGGGGGAAGAGGGAAGAAAGGAAAGAGGGAGGGAAGGAAGAAAGGTGAGAGAGAGAGAGAGAGAGAGAGAGAGAGAGAGAAAGAAAGAAAGAGAGAGAGAGAGAGAGAGAGAGAGAGCAAAAGAAAGAAAGGAAGAAAGAAAGAAGGAAAGAAAGAAAGAAAGAGAGAGGGGGGGAGGGAAGATTGGCCACAGCAATGCGTGGCAGGTACAGCTAGTAATCTATATAAATAGCAATGGAATGTCCATTTGTGGGATTAACATAACTCAAAAATCACAGGACGAATTGACACCAAATTTGGACACAAGACAGGAAGGAAGGAAGGAAGGAAGGAAGGAAGGAAAGGAAGGAAGGAAGGAAGGAAGGAAGGAAGGAAGGAAGGAAGGAAGGAAGGAAGGAAGGAGAGGCCAACGAATGACCATCACTCATCAAAACACTAAAAAACACATCGGAAGGGATTTAAAAGCCAAAAAAGCAAAAAGATGCTACAGCACATGCGCAAAAACGACTCCTCCGGCAAACAAAACACACAATAGCATATCCACGCTCTCTTCCGGACTACAGCTCCCAGCATCCCTTAGACCATGTCCTTTAGGAGAGGAGGGTGATCCAAATGCACTGCTTCCAAGATGCAAGCTTTCTTCTCCTTGGATTTCTTTGAGAGCATCCCAATCCCTGCATATTTCCCATTTCCTATTCCTGGACTGCAGCTCCTAGCAATCCTCCTGATAGATAGATTAGATAGAGGTAGGTAGGTAGGTAGGTAGGTAGGTAGATCAATCAGGAGGTCATGACTCCAAGGTCATGTGGCTGGCATGACCATCCCACAGAAGCGGTGCCTATTGATCTACTCACGCTTGCATGGTTTCAAATGCTAGGTTGGCAGAAGCTGGGCCTAACAGCAGGAGTTCACCCCACTCCCCGGATTCGAACCACCAACCTTTGGGTCAGCAAGTTCAGCACCTCAGCAGTTTAACCCGCTGCGCCTCCAGGGAGTTACTCAGTTACTACATTATATCATTCGCAGTTCATCAAATGCATCATCTCATGAGAAGGTGCAGCACATTGACCACATATGGCACCCAAAAGCCATTTTCAAGGTCTAGTACCCTGAAAACATTTTTCATTAGGTGGAAAATTAAATTCTCTACATATGCAATTTGCTACTATTTTGGCCCCTCCTAGCTTGTTTAGTCCCCAGAAATGCTGTTTATAAATAGGAAGAGTACCAGAAGTTGTTTTCTGGGTTAACACAGCCCCAGGGGACCTGAAAATACATTTGAATTGCACTCTAATTGGCTGCATTTGGAAGCAAAAAGGGTGCAGGGAGACATTGGGGGCAGCTAACGGAGAAGCCAATGCAGCCTGTCCAATCCCTAGTGGTTGCCCATTCCTTTTGTAACAGGAAAAGTGAAATAAAATAAAATAAAAAAATAAACAACTTTTTCTTTAAGTAAACACATACTGTGTGACTGATTTTGCCCTTTGTTTTCTCACCAGAATTTGGTTGCCCGTGTTTTCCTGGACGAGACGATTCCGAGCCATCTGTTGACTTCACTTCCAAAAGATAAGATGCTTTCCTTTCTCTATCAAACACAGAGGCTGTATAGATTGAGCCTGTTTTAGAATCCAAATGGAAAAAAGTATAGTCTTCGCTGCGATCGGGCAGCAGAGAATAAGTGATCTGAAAGAGGAAAGGAGAGAAGAGATCTACAATGAAAACCAGGACTTTAATCTCTGGCTTTGCAACAGGTCTGGGCTCCACACCCACCTATGGACCCACTGCCAAGACACTACACTTGGAGGCCCATCATCCTCAGGCTATGAGGGATCGCCTAAGTACAAGGGTTGAATGAAAAGTGATGCCTCCACCTTCGTAACTCCTCAACAGATCACAGCAGGTATGCAGCAGGTACTGGCTTGTTCAGTAGACTCTCCTCTACTGTTCCATTTTGGGGGGAAACTTCAGCATTGAACGGTTGTGTTGTTAAAGTGCAAAGTATGGAACCCTGCGCAGATGGTCGGTCAATGCAACTTAAGCAACGTGTAGTCATTGAATTCTTGACACCAGAAGGTGTCACCTCAAAAGTAATGAAAAGTAATACCTCCACCTTTGTAACTCCTGAAGAGATGGCAGTACTGGTATGTGGCAGGCACTGACTTGTTCAGTAGACCCTCCTCTACAGTTCCATTTTGGCAGGAAGCCTTAGCATTGAACAGTTGTGTTGTTAAAGTGCAAAGTATAGAACCCTGCGTAGATGGTCGGTCAATGCCACTTAAGCAACGTGCAGTCATTTATTTATTTTATTTATTTACATTATTTCTATCCCACCCATTTCAGCCCGAAGGTGACTCAGGGCGGTATACACAATTCAATGCTGAAATAAATTACAAATTACATACATTAATAAAGCAAAAACATCATTAAACATAAATGACTGCATTGAATTCTTGACAGAAGAAGGTGTCACCTCAACATCTTTAACCTTACTTGCCCAACAACGCACAGTACTCACATCAACACAATCACCATAAAAAGCTTGTATTCTCTGATGGATCTCCTTTGGGGTGACACCTTTTACTGTCAAGAATTCAATGACTGCACATTGCTTAAGTCGCATTGACCGACCGTCTGCACATGGTTCCATACTTCACACTTTAACAACACAACCATTCAATGCTTAGGCTTCCCGCCAAAATGGAACTGTAGAGGAGAGTCTACTGAACAAGCCAGTACCTGCCGCATACCAGTACTGCCATCTGTTGAGGAGTTACAAAGGTGGAGGCATTACACAACCATTCAATGCTAAGGCTTCCCGCCAAAATGGAACTGTAGAGGAGAGTCTACTGAACAAGCCAGTACCTGCCACATACCAGTACTGCCACCTGTTGAGGAGTTACAAAGGTGGACGCATTACACAACCATTCAATGCTAAGGCTTCCCACCAAAATGGAACTGTAGAGGAGAGTCTACTGAATAAGCCAGTACCTGCCGCATACCAGTACCGCCATCTGTTGAGGAGTTACGAAGGTGGAGGCATTACACAACCATTCAACCCTAAGGCTTACCACCAAAATGGAACTGTAGAGGAGAGTCTACTGAACAAGCCAGTACCTGCCGCATACTAGTACTGCCATCTGTTGAGGAGTTACAAAAGTGGAGGCATTACACAACCATTCAATAGGGTCTACTGAACAAGCCAGTACCTACCGCATACCAGTACTGCCACCTGTTGATGAGTTACGAAGGTGGAGGCATTACTTTTCATTAAACCCTTGTAAGAAAGCAAAAGGTCTCAGGCAACATTCAGTCAACTGAGCACACACATGTGATTCCGTGTTCGCAACATTGTTCAAAATTACTGATTCAAAATAAAACTAAGGAAGGGGTGTCGTGTGGTTTCCAGGCAAAAGAAAACGAAGGAAGGCTGACCTGCCATCTCAGTGAGCAAAACATTGATTGCAACGTTATAAACAACACTTTTGGGTATTCTTGTGCAATGGAAAACGGGATATAAATTAACATAACAACAACAGTAACAACACTGTTTGGGTTTTAACCTACTTCCCCATTCTGGCCAAGGTCCAGGTCGGTGGCAGAGACTTGGAAAACCATTGTTCCGATGTCGGCTCCTTCAGTCACGGAAGCTTCATAAATTGAGGAGGTGAAGAAAGGGACGTTGTCGTTGACATCTAAAATGCGTTCAAGAGTCAGACAGTCACTCCATGTGTTGAACAGTTATTGGGATTTTTAAAACTATAGATAGAGATACATTTAGCCATTTCCAGAGGCTTGATGGACTAACATTTCCCAACCTTTCTAATGCCGTGACCCCTTAACACAGTTCCTCATGTGGTGGTGATCCCCAACCATAACATTATCTTTGTTGCTACTTCATAACTGTAATATTGCTAGTGATATGAATCGTAATGTAAATATCTGATATACATGATGTATTTTCATTCACTGGACCAAATTTGGCACAAATACCCAATAAGCCCACATTTGAATACTGGTAGGTTTGGGGAGGGGGGTTGATTTTGTCATTTGGAAGTTGTAGTTGCTGGGATTTATAGTTCAACTACTATCAAAGAGCATTCTGAACTCCACCAATGAGGGAATTGAATCAAACTTGGCACAGAGAAGGGTTTGGTGGGCATTGACCTTGAGTTTGGGAGTTGTAGTTCACCTACATTCAGAGAGCACTGTGGACTAATGCAATGGTGGATCTGGACCAAACTTGGCACAAATACTCAATATGCCCAAATTTGAACACTGGTGGAGTCTGCGGAAAATAGGCCTTGACATTTGGGAGTTGTAATTGCTGGGATGTATAGCTCACCTACAATCAAAGAGCATTCTGAACTCCACCAATGATTGAATTGAACCACACAGAACTCCCATGACCAAGAGAAAATACTGGAAGGGTTGGGTGGGCATTCACCTTGAGTTTTGGAGTTGTAGTTCATCTACATCCAGAGAGCACTGTGGACTCAAACAATGATGGATCTGGACCAAACTTGGCACAGATACTCAATATGCCCAAATGTGAACACTGCAGGAGTTTGGGGAAAATAGTCCTTGACATTTGGGAGTTGTAATTGCTGGGATTTATAGTTCACCTACAACATTCTGAATTCTGAACCCCAACAATGACAGATTTGGGCCAAACTTCCCATACAGAAGCCGTATGCCTTGAAGGGACTTACTGGCGTGAGTCTCCCTCCAGCTTTGCATGCTCTCCCTTGTCCGCGCATGTGCACCATGCTGTCATGCTCCGAGCACACCTGCTCTCCCCTCCCTGCTTGGAGTCTCAAAAACACCCCTCCTCTTGGTTGAGAGGCCGGCTAATCATAATGGAGGTGGGCTTTTGGTTGGAGAACTCACTGTCTGTTTCCAAAAAGCAAGAGAAGGACTAACGGAGAGATCTTACGTTAGCCTTCTCCGCCAATAGATGTTTTTGGATGGTCTTTGCCGACCTCTCTGAAACCCCCTCATGACCCCACAGAAAAACTGTGATGGACAGTCCACATCAAAATGTGTAATGATGAATGCCAACTCAACCCCTGATTCCTTCCCCTTGTTGCTCTACAGTTGCCATCATCCCTGACAACATGCCATGCCAACTGCACCTGATGGGAGTTGCAGTCCAAGGCACCTGGAGAGACTAGAAATGTGGGAAAGTATCTTGCTATATTGAATTTTATCGCCAACAGACTGGAACATGTCATGCCTCTAACGCATCAGACTTCCTTTTTTCTTGACATGTCATTATTCAAAGTAAGTTATATGAGGGTTGAATGAAAAGCAATGTCTCCACCTTCGTAACTCCTCAACAGACGGCAGTACTGGTATGCGGCAGGTACTGGCTTGTTCAGTAGACTCTCCTCTACAGTTCCATTTTGGCGGGAAGCCTTAGCATTGAACGGTTGTGTTGTTAAAGTATGAAGTATGGAAGTATGGAACGTTGCAACTTAAGCAACGTTCAGTCATTGAATTCTTGACAACAGAAGGTGTCACCCCAAACGAGATTAATCAGAGAATGCAAGCTGTTGATGGTGATTGTGTTGATGTGGGTACTGTGCATCATTGGCCGAGTAAGTTTAAAGATGTTGAGGTGGGAACATCTGACTTGTGTGACAAACAAATTGTTGGACATCCTGTGACAGCAACCACTGAGTTTCACAAGCAAAAAAGTTGACAAATTAATTCAGGATGATCATTGTATCATTCAGAGATAAATTTCAAGCATAATCGGTATTTCACAAGAATGTGTGGGTCACATTATTGCTTTGCTTGGCAATCGGAAGATCTGTGCACGATGGGTATCCAGGATGAGAGAACTGTGAGACACTGATTGTGGAAACAGAGTGTCGACTTCTTCCATGACAGCTTCAGAAAACTTGTTCATCATTGGCAGAAATGTATCCAATTGTCTGGTGATTATGTGGAAAAGTGAATAGTGGTTGTTCATTGTTGGCAGAAATGTATCCAATTGTCTGCTGATTATGTGGGAAAGTGAATAGTGGTAGTTAAAGAGCACATTCTAAGGATTACTTCTGCGTTTGATTTATTAAAATATTCCCCTCCAAACCCAAGTAACGAAGGTGGAGGCATTACTTTTCATTCAACCCTCGTATGACAGCTATGTTTGCCTCCAATCAGAGTTGGAAATCAAGCTCCACAACCTTTAAATGCGGCCTCTTTCGATGTTGACAGTATGTTATTTAGCACTTCCAAACCGGCATCCTTGAACAGTTCAACTGGATCCAAGGATGAAGCAGGTGAAACTAATGCGCTACCGGCTGGTGCACATTTTGCCCGAACATTAAATGAACATTACGCACCTGTCACATTAATATAGACAGTGGCAAATGAAGCGAGTGGCACTGCGGCCACATTCTGGGCTCGAATCCTCAACAAGAAATGCTTTGTGGTTTCGTAATCCAAAGGTTCAGCGATGAGGAGGGATGCAGAGCCGTCGTCTCGGTTTGGCGTCAAGTAGAACCGTATTGGCATGTTGGTCTCTGGAACGAGCCCTTCCTCCAGATTGTACGTGATCCGCGGGTCTCCGAGCGGGGATGTGGCTTTAATGGTCTGTGCAATTGCAAACATTCAGAGATTCAGAGATGGCTCTTGGCATATACGGAGAGACATAGAAGCACACACAGGAGCAAAGAGACATTCATGCACAGAGAAGAGAGGCAAGGCCTCATCAATACCACGTGACAAACAGAACAAGTAACGGTGGCTTTGTATCTGAGAGCAGGAATAGGGCAAGATCTCCCACCAGCTTGGAAAGGGACTTGGTGTTGCTACTAAGAGGTTGCACCGTACTTTATCTAAGTTATTGTAAGGATCAATGTTGTTTGTGCTATAACTTTAAGTTGCTGTAAGGTTCAAGGCTGTTTGTGCTACAGCTGTTTCAGTTAATTGAAGAGTTAATTGAGAGTATTATTTTCATGTGTATAAAGAGAGCTACTGTGTGTTTAGTTCTTGGCCATTGTGCGTTTGTGCTATTGTGCATCTATGCCTCTGTGCCGTTCTGCTTTGTGTAAGCCGGGGACTATGCTGCAGATGTCCTGCGAAGACACAGCCATGAGAAGAGGACAAGGATTCCTGCTTATCTCAGCTGAGTAGTGATGTCTCTCAGAAGATATTGTTTCATGTTACTTTTGTGGAAACAGTAATCCTGCCACTTTGTTTTTGTATGCTGCCAATACTACAATATTTTCTTTTCTACTTTAAGCCGAAGTCTTGTGTGTTTTTCTTTTATGAGCCAATTCATCACACACACTGTTAACTGGGCTAGAGTCAATCTGCATGCTACTCATGCTAACGCATGACACTTGGGACACCTGATTTTTGTACAACCACAGTTTATTTCCACCTCAAGTTTCCTTGGCTTGGATATAGGCCAGTGATTCTCAACCTTCCCGATGCCGTGACCCCTTAATATAGTTCCTCGTGTTGTGGTAACCCCCAACCATAAAATTATTTTTGTTGCTACTTCATCACTGTAATTCTACTCCTGTTATGAATCGTAATGTAAATATCTGATATGCAGGATGCACTTTCATTCACTGGACCAAATTTGGCACAAATACCCAATATGCCCAAATTTGGATACTGGTGAGGTTGGGGGGGGGGGATTGATTTTGTCATTTGGGAGTTGTAGTTGCTGGGATTTATAGTTCGCCTACAATCAAAGAGCATTCTGAACTCCACCAACGATGGAATTGAACTGATCTTGGCACACAGAACTCCCATGACCAAGAGAAAATACTACAAGTGTTTGGTGGGCAATGATTTTGAATTTTGGAGTTGTAGTTCACCTATATCCAGAGAGCATTGTGAACTCAAACAATGATGGATCTGGACCAAACTTGGCACGAATGCTCAATATGCCCAAATATGAACACTGGTGCTATTTGTGGGGAATAGAGCTTGACCTTTGGGAGTTGTAGTTCCTGGGATTGACAGTTCGCCTACAATCAAAGAGCATCCTGAATTCCACCAATGATGGAATTGAACCAAACTTGGCACACGGAACTCCCATGACCAACAGAAAATACTGGAAGGGTTTAGTGGGCACTGACATTGAGTTTTGGAGTTGTAGTTCACCTACACCCAGAGAGCACTGTAGACTCAAACAATGATGGATCTGGACCAAAACTTGGCAAGAATACTCAATATACCCAAATGTGAATACTGGTGGAGTTTGGGGGAAATAGACCTTGACCTTTGGGAGTTGTAGTTGCTGGGATTTATGGTTCACTTACAATCAGAGAGCATTCTGAACCCCACCAATGTTTCCAAAAAGGAAGAGAAGTACAGGTGGTGAGATCTTCAGCCTTCTCTGCCAAAGAGGTTTCTAAAACCATCAGAAATATATGTTTTCTGATGGTCTTTAGCAACCCCTCATTTTCTTCTTTTTTTTAAGCCTGTGCTTCACAGTCCCATCCCCAGTCCCCGCTTACCACAATGGATGTATCTCTTGCTGTGCTTTCTGGGATAATGACTTGGTAAGTGTCCTGTTCCCACCGAGGAGGCTGGTTTTTTGCACTGGTGACGGTCACCCTGAGCTCCGCCTTGCTGCTCCTGTTCCCTCCATCCGTTGCCATGATTTCTTGAGTTATGAAGGATTTCTGGTAAAGGAAAAGGAAAGGAAAGTGGGGCGGGATGAGAAGGGTTACTTCAGCAATTGTTTTTGAGGCTGGTGTCAAACATACTTCATATCAGATCGACCATGCTTTTGTTTCTGTTGCTCAGAAACGGTATTATTATTATTATAATAATTATTATTATTATTATTTACAGCTTTTCTATTCGGCCCTTCTCCTCACCCCGCAGGGGACTCAGGGCGGATTACACTGTACACATATATGGCAAACATTCCATGCCAATTTTAACATACAACATATTATTTATTTATTTTGCTTCTATACCGCTGTATCTCAAGCCCGAAGGCGACTCACAGCGGTTCACAAACAGTAAAAACAGTAGAAACAGCAGTGGTTCCATACAACATATAACAATTGACTTAACACATTATCCATAAATTACCAATAAGCCATTACAATGCACAATTATTACAAAAAACAACCGTACCCAATCTTCTCATCATCCAAGCGTAGTCCAGGTTCGTCGTCCATATACTGACATACACAGAGGCTATTTAACTTTTTCTGGCCACTAGGGGAGCTGTCGCTTTCCTCGTCCATCTGCGACGCTGATGAAGCACTTCCGCATTCCCCGCATGCTTCCCCGCTGGAATGCTTTGCCAGAGTCTTCTTTATGGCCTCATAAATCAGTTAATTTAGCCTCCCCACACTTTAAGGTGGTACCTTATTTTCCTACTTGACAGATGCAACTGTCTTTCGGGTTGCAAAGGTCGACAACAGGCTACACATAATTGGTTGGAAACCCACTCCAACCCAGGCTGGCTTCGAACTCATGACCTTTTGGTCAGAGTGATCTTAAGGCAGCTGACACTCAGCCAGCTGCGCCACAATCCTGGTGTGCGATCCCGGTATGTTCCAGATAATGCCACAGCTAAACATGTTTATTTATTTTTACCTTCTTTAAGATATTTATTTGTCGTGTCAGGGCAACCAGTCAATTATATTACATTTCTAAGAGAACAAAGCAAACAAACAGACAAACACAAAGTTTGCAAGCTTGGTATTCTATTAAATGTCCTTTGACCAGTATCTGGCCCCTTGGAGTGCCTCTGGTGTTGCCGCAAGGAGGTCCTCCCTTGTGCACGTGGCAAGGCTCAGGTTGCATTGCAGCAGGTGGTCAGTGGTTTGCTCCTCTCCACACTCGCATGTCGTGGATTCCACTTTGTGGCCCCATTTCTTGAGGTTGGCTCTGCATCTCGTGGTGCCAGAGCGCAGTCTGTTCAGCGCCTTCCATGTCACCCCGTCTTCTGTGTGCCTAGGGGGGAGTCTCTCATTTGGTATCACCCACGGATTGAGGTTCTGGGTTTGAGCCTGCCACTTTTGGACTCTCGCTTGCTGAGGTGTTCCAGCAAGTGTCTCTGTAGATCTTAGAAAACTATTTCTAGATTTAAGTCGTTGACGTGCTTACTTACTTACTTCTTTAAGATAATAAATAAATAAATAAATATAAATAAAAGGAGCTCCTGATGGCGCAGTTGGTTAAACCCTTGTGCCGACAGGACTGAAGACCGACAGGTCACAGGTTCAAAGCCAGGGAGAGTGCGGATGAGCTCCCTCTATCAGCTCCAGCTCCTCATGCGAGAACATGAGAGAAGCCTCCCGCAAGGATGGTAAAAAATCAAAACATTAGGGCTTCCCCTGGGCAATGTCCTTGCAGAAGGACAATTCTCTCACACCAGAAGCAACTTGCAGTTTCTCAAGTCGCTCCTGACATGACAAAAAAAAACCCCTTCTTTATTACTAGCTTGAGGACCCAGAGTTGTCCATGTCATCTGAAAAAGTCAGCTTTTAAATTATGCAATAAGCATAAGGTTGTGAGTGAACTACAAGTTGCATCATGCCATTTTAACCCCGAAAAACTTCATCAATGGGTTGTTGTAGGTTTTTCGGGCTATTTGGCCATGTTCTAGAAGCATTCTCTCCTGACGTTTCGCCTGCATCTATGGCAAGCATCCTCAGAGGTTGTGAGGTCTGTTGGGAACTAGGAAAGTGGTGTTTATATCCCTGTGGAATGATGTCCAGGGTGGGAGAGGTTGTAGGTTTTTCGGGCTATTTGGCCATGTTCTAGAAGCATTCTCTCCTGACGTTTCGCCTGCATCTATGGCAAGCATCCTCAGAGGTTGTGAGGTCTGTTGGGAACTAGGCAAGTGGTGTTTATATCCCTGTGGAATGATGTCCAGGGTGGGAGAGGCTGTAGGTTTTTGGGGCTATTTGGCCATGTTCTAGAAGCATTCTCTCCTGACGTTTCGCCTGCATCTATGGCAAGCATCCTCAGAGGTTGTGAGGTCTGTTGGGAACTAGGCAAGTGGTGTTTATATCCCTGTGGAATGATGTCCAGGGTGGGAGAGGTTGTAGGTTTTTCGGGCTATTTGGCCATGTTCTAGAAGCATTCTCTCCTGACGTTTCGCCTGCATCTATGGCAAGCATCCTCAGAGGTTGTGAGATCTATTGGGAACTAGGCAAGTGGTGTTTATATCCCTGTGGAATGATGTCCAGGGTGGGAGATGCTATAGGTTTTTGGGGCTATTTGGCCATGTTCTAGAAGCATTCTCTCCTGACGTTTCGCCTGCATCTATGGCAAGCATCCTCAGAGGTTGTGAGGTCTGTTGGGAACTAGGCAAGTGGTGTTTATATCCCTGTGGAATGATGTCCAGGGTGGGAGAGGCTGTAGGTTTTTCGGGCTATTTGGCCATGTTCTAGAAGCATTCTCTCCTGACGTTTCGCCTGCATCTATGGCAAGCATCCTCAGAGGTTGTGAGGTCTGTTGGGAACTAGGCAAGTGGTGTTTATATCCCTGTGGAATGATGTCCAGGGTGGGAGAGGCTGTAGGTTTTTGGGGCTATTTGGCCATGTTCTAGAAGCATTCTCTCCTGACGTTTCGCCTGCATCTATGGCAAGCATCCTCAGAGGTTGTGAGGTCTGTTGGGAACTAGGCAAGTGGTGTTTATATCCCTGTGCATGCAATGGGAGGGACCTTGGGTTGCTGTAGGTTTTTTTCGGGCCATGTTCCAGAAGCATTCTCTCCTGACGTTTCGCCCACATCTATGGCAGGCCTCCTCAGAGGTTGTGAGGTCTGTCAGAAACTAGGAAAACAGGGTTTATGTATCTGTGGAATGTCCAGGGTGGGAGAGGTTGTTGTAGGTTTTTCGGGCTATTTGGCCATGTTCTAGAAGCATTCTCTCCTGACGTTTCGCCTGCATCTATGGCAAGCATCCTCAGAGGTTGTGAGGTCTGTTGGGAACTAGGCAAGTGGTGTTTATATCCCTGTGGAATGATGTCCAGGGTGGGAGAGGCTGTAGGTTTTTCGGGCTATTTGGCCATGTTCTAGAAGCATTCTCTCCTGACGTTTCGCCTGCATCTATGGCAAGCATCCTCAGAGGTTGTGAGGTCTGCTGGGAACTAGGCAAAGTGGTGTTTATATCCCTGTGGAATGATGTCCAGGGTGGGAGAGGCTGTAGGTTTTTCGGGCTATTTGGCCATGTTCTAGAAGCATTCTCTCCTGACGTTTCGCCTGCATCTATGGCAAGCATCCTCAGAGGTTGTGAGGTCTGTTGGGAACTAGGCAAGTGGTGTTTATATCCCTGTGGAATGATGTCCAGGGTGGGAGAGGCTGTAGGTTTTTCGGGCTATTTGGCCATGTTCTAGAAGCATTCTCTCCTGACGTTTCGCCTGCATCTATGGCAAGCATCCTCAGAGGTTGTGAGGTCTGTTGGGAACTAGGCAAGTGGTGTTTATATCCCTGTGGAATGATGTCCAGGGTGGGAGAGGCTGTAGGTTTTTCGGGCTATTTGGCCATGTTCTAGAAGCATTCTCTCCTGACGTTTCGCCTGCATCTATGGCAAGCATCCTCAGAGGTTGTGAGGTCTGTTGGGAACTAGGCAAGTGGTGTTTATATCCCTGTGGAATGATGTCCAGGGTGGGAGAGGCTGTAGGTTTTTCGGGCTATTTGGCCATGTTCTAGAAGCATTCTCTCCTGACGTTTCGCCTGCATCTATGGCAAGCATCCTCAGAGGTTGTGAGGTCTGTTGGGAACTAGGCAAGTGGTGTTTATATCCCTGTGGAATGATGTCCAGGGTGGGAGAGGTTGTTGTAGGCTTTTCAGGCTATTTGGCCATGTTCTAGAAGCATTCTCTCCTGACGTTTCGCCTGCATCTATGGCAAGCATCCTCAGAGGTTGTGAGGTCTATTGGGAACTAGGAGGTGTTTATATCCCTGTGGAATGATGTCCAGGGTGGGAGAGGTTGTTGTAGGCTTTTCGGGCTATTCGGCCATGTTCTAGAAGCATTCTCTCCTGACGTTTCGCCTGCATCTATGGCAAGCATCCTCAGAGGTTGTGAGATCTATTGGGAACTAGGCAAGTGGTGTTTATATCCCTGTGGAATGATGTCCAGGGTGGGAGAGGCTGTAGGTTTTTCGGGCTATTTGGCCATGTTCTAGAAGCATTCTCTCCTGACGTTTCGCCTGCATCTATGGCAAGCATCCTCAGAGGTTGTGAGGTCTGTTGGGAACTAGGCAAGTGGTGTTTATATCCCTGTGGAATGATGTCCAGGGTGGGAGAGGCTGTAGGTTTTTCGGGCTATTTGGCCATGTTCTAGAAGCATTCTCTCCTGACGTTTCGCCTGCATCTATGGCAAGCATCCTCAGAGGTTGTGAGGTCTGTTGGGAACTAGGCAAGTGGTGTTTATATCCCTGTGGAATGATGTCCAGGGTGGGAGAGGCTGTAGGTTTTTCGGGCTATTTGGCCATGTTCTAGAAGCATTCTCTCCTGACGTTTCGCCTGCATCTATGGCAAGCATCCTCAGAGGTTGTGAGGTCTGTTGGGAACTAGGCAAGTGGTGTTTATATCCCCGTGAAATGACGTCCAGGGTGGGAGAAACATTATAATAAACATAATAATACAGAAGTAAAAAAAACAGTAATGGACTCCATGCGCTGTCTCTTGGATGCGACTTGCCGACCCTGTTCCTTGTTTCTTTCCTTCTCAGTCAAAGCAGCAATCTGCGTGACATGACAGCTGCGAACGAGTTCATGCGTATGGAAATAATTCATTTAAGAAGAGCAGGCCCTTGGGTGGGGAGCAACCGTCAAAGTGACATGAAGGCTGCATACAAGAAGAGAAAAGGGGCTGCGAAGGTAGAACGCGGCCCCTCACTGTTCTCTCCCAGCTACACAATCCATCCCTTGACACACCTGGCTAGAGAATCAACCCATCTGTAACAACATACCTGCAGCAGAGGTTGTGTGGCATAAACCCAGCCGGTGGTAGGATTGACCTCAAAGTAGTTGGGTTTCCCCTTGGCTATAGAGTACGTAATGGAGGCGTTCGAGCCATAGTCGTCATCGTGGGCCGCGACACGAAGAAAGCTTGTCCCCACGTCTGTGTCTTCTCTTAAGAAATCTAGGGAAGCAGAAGGGACACTAGCGGTTATTAACCCAATTGCACAAGACAACACACCAAATAGTCTCAGAGCTGTCACAATCTATAGAGTCCACATACCCGGTTCTTCACTCTGGGTTTGTGTAAATGAAGAAGAAGAAGAAGAAAGAGGAGGAGGAGGAGGAGGACAAGAACAAGAAGAAGAAGAAGAAGAAGAAGAACAAGAAGGAGGAGGAGGAGAAGAAGAACCACAACCACAACAAGAAGAACAAGAACAAGAAGAAGAAGAAGAACAAGAAGAAGAACAAGAAGGAGGAGGAGGAGGAGAAGAAGAACCACAACCACAACAAGAAGAACAAGAACAAGAAGAAGAAGAAGAACAAGAAGAAGAACAAGAAGGAGGAGAAGGAGGAGGAGAAGAAGAACCACAACCACAACAAGAAGAACAAGAACAAGAAGAAGAACAAGAAGGAGGAGGAGGAGAAGAAGAACCACAACCACAACAAGAAGAACAAGAACAAGAAGAAGAAGAAGAACAAGAAGAAGAACAAGAAGGAGGAGAAGGAGGAGGAGAAGAAGAACCACAACCACAACAAGAAGAACAACAAGAAGAAGAAGAACAAGAAGAAGAACAAGAAGGAGGAGAAGGAGGAGGAGAAGAAGAACCACAACCACAACAAGAAGAACAAGAACAAGAAGAAGAAGAAGAACAAGAAGAAGAACAAGAAGGAGGAGAAGGAGGAGGAGAAGAAGAACCACAACCACAACAAGAAGAACAAGAACAAGAAGAAGAACAAGAAGGAGGAGGAGGAGAAGAAGAACCACAACCACAACAAGAAGAACAAGAACAAGAAGAAGAAGAAGAACAAGAAGAAGAACAAGAAGGAGGAGAAGGAGGAGGAGAAGAAGAACCACAACCACAACAAGAAGAACAACAAGAAGAAGAAGAACAAGAAGAAGAACAAGAAGGAGGAGAAGGAGGAGGAGAAGAAGAACCACAACCACAACAAGAAGAACAAGAACAAGAAGAAGAAGAAGAACAAGAAGAAGAACAAGAAGGAGGAGAAGGAGGAGGAGAAGAAGAACCACAACCACAACAAGAAGAACAAGAAGAAGAAGAAGAACAAGAAGAAGAACAAGAAGGAGGAGAAGGAGGAGGAGAAGAAGAACCACAACCACAACAAGAAGAACAAGAAGAAGAAGAAGAACAAGAAGAAGAACAAGAAGGAGGAGGAGGAGAAGAAGAACCACAACCACAACAAGAAGAACAAGAACAAGAAGAAGAAGAAGAACAAGAAGAAGAACAAGAAGGAGGAGAAGGAGGAGGAGAAGAAGAACCACAACCACAACAAGAAGAACAAGAACAAGAAGAAGAAGAAGAACAAGAAGAAGAACAAGAAGGAGGAGAAGGAGGAGGAGAAGAAGAACCACAACCACAAGAAGAAGAACAAGAACAACAAGAAGAAGAAGAACAAGAACAACAAGAAGAACAACAAGAACTTTATTTTTCTACCCCGCCTCCATCTCCCCGAAGGAACTCAGGGCAGCTTACATGGGGCCCAAGCCCAGGCAGAATACAATTAAAATAAAGCAATAACAATTAAAACAACATAAAACAGCATAAAACAAAATAACAAAAATAGCTAGCAACAACAATAACAGCAGACTAATTTTGGAGGAGGGGAGGAAAACCACTACTTGAACTAGTTAAAGGCTAAAGGGGTTTAGTAAGGTAGATGACAATGTATAACAGCATAGGACAAATCATGCAAACAGAGCAAATTAACAGGATCAGTTAATATAATATAGGACATCAGATTGAATGACAATTCAAGTCATGATACAGGCCGTTTGTCACAGGAATCGTCAATCGAAAGCACGGCTTTGGACTTTTGATTCAAGGATAGTGGAGAATAGAATTATTTAAAAAGTAAAAGTTTTCCCCTGACATTAAGTCTAGTTGTGTCCGACTCTGGCGGTTGCTGCTCATCTCCATTTCTAAGCCGATGAGCCAGCGTTGTCTGTAGAGACCTCCAAGGTCATTTGGCCAGCATGACTGCATGGAACACTGTTTCCTTCCCGCTGGAGTGGTACCTGTTGATCTACTCACATTTGCATGTTTTTGAACTGCTAGGTTGGCAGGAGCCGGGACTGACAGCAGGAGCTCATGTCGCTCCTCGGATTCGAACCCGCCCACCACAGAAACCTAGTTGGAAGAGACCACATGGGCCATCCAATCCAATGCCATGCAGGAAAAGCACAACCAAAGCTTGACCACCCTCTGTTTAAAAGCCTCCAAAGATTGGAGCTTCCACCACACTCCAAGGATCTTACAGTCAGGAAGTTCTTCCTGATTTTCATGTGGAATCTCTTTTCCTGTCATTTGAACCCATGGCTCCACTGAGTCCTAGTCTCCAGATCAGCAGAAAACAAGCCTGCTCCCTTTTCCTTAGGACAGCCTTTCAAATCTTTAAACATGGATCTTCTCATGTCTCCTCTCAGCGTTCCTCTTCTGAGGTTCAACGCCCCAAGCTCTTTAAGCCATTCTTCAGAGGGATTCTTCGTGGTCTCCAGGCCTTTGCTCATTTGGTTCATCCTTCTCGGGACACGTTCCAGCTTAAACCCAATATCCCTCTTGAATTGTTTTGCCCATAACTGGACATCAGTGGCCACTTCTCTCCATCTGTGGCCACAGAGCATTGTGAGCTCTACCAGATGGCTTTGGGGACATGCAAATATCACACGATTCTGTTTTCCAATTGCATACTGCCTGTATCCACATCTAGGCCTACTCCACATAAACCAGGGTCCCATCATCAGAACATATCCTTGGAACACCCAAAAGTTCAGCAGGAAGCATGAAAAAGGGAAAGTTGGGGGAAATGGATCCTTACATAAATTCCAAGGGAGAACAGAAACGAAACACTGTATGCCCTGAGTTGGAAAAATCACAGCTGAGTCTGGAAATACTGTGTGGTCAAAGGCTTTCATGGCCAAAATCACTGGATTGCTGTGAGTTTTTTGGCCTGTATGACCTTGTTCCAGTAGCATTCTCTCCTGACCTTTTGCCTGCACCTGTGGCCAGCACCTTCAGAGGTCTGTTGGAAGTCAGTAGGCATATCATTTGGATAATTTGAAAAGCCACAGCCAGGACCGGTACGATGCCCGCCAGACCCTGAGTTTTTTGTTTTTTGCCAGAGCTCTATTTGTGATGTTCAATTTTGCTGCCTGAGGCGGCAAACAGGGAAAGTGAACTATTATTTTATCATATGGCTTTTTCTTTGCCTCCTCCAACGTGCAAACAATAATCATAGAATATATTTCAATGCAGGGTGAGGACAAAAATGAACCACAGAAAGCACACACCCAAAAGATCTCTGCCCTTAGACAAGCTCACAGTCAGAGAACCAAGGGAGTGGTAATTACATTCATAGTGGCTGTTTTCAAATCTGGGGCTGTTATCATTGACGTCCAAGATGACCACCGTGATCTGGCAGATCCCAATGAGCGGCTCTGCCGCCTGGTCCGTCGCCGTCACCGTGATCGGGTGCTCCCTCTGTTTCTCTCGGTCAAATACCTGAAGGGTTGTTAAGACACCTAGAAATAGATACCATAAACACAAACGATTCAGTCTAGCATGCATGCATATATGCACAAAACAGGATTCCTCACCCACATCCCCGTAAGTAAGGCACAAAGAAGCAAAGGCATCTGCCAAGGCATAGGTTTTTAAGCAGGTCAGGTGTGGGCAAAGCCAGGCCCGGGGGTTGGAGGTGGCCCCTTGGGCTCTTTTCTCAGGCCCTCCTCTCTCTCATCATCTTATCCTTCCTTCCTTCCGTAAGTCCCTCCTTTGTTCTTTCCCTCCTCCTTCCCTTCCTTCCTTACATTCCACTTTCTCCCTCCTTTCTCCCTTCCCTTCCACCCTTTCATCCTTCCTTCCTTCCCTCGTTCCTCCCTCCTTCCCCCTCTATTTCTCCCTTCCTTTCTTCTTTCCCTTTTGTCTTTCCTTCCTTCTCTTTTTCCTCCCTCTCTCCCCTCTCCCTCCATCCATTCCCTTCCACCCTGCCTTCTTTCCTTCCCTCCTTCTCTCCCTTCCTCTCCTCCCTTCCCTTCTTCTTTTCTCCTTCCTTCCTTCCCCCTCTTTCTTCGTTTCTTCTTTCCCCTTTGCCTTTCCTTCTCTTTTTCCTCCCTCTCTCCCCATTCCCTCCCTCCATTCCCTTCCACCCTTTCCATCCTTCTCTTCTCTCCCTCCTCTCTCTCCCCTTCCCTTCTCCTTTTCCCTCCTCTTCTTTCCTTCTCTTTCTTCTTTCCCTTTTTCTTCCTTCCTTCTCTTCCCTTCCCCCCTCCTCCTTCCATCCTTCTCTTCCTCCTCCCTTTCCTTCCTTCCTTCCCTCTCTCCTCCAATTTTCTTCTCCTTCCCTCTTTTCTCCCTCCTTCTCCCCTCTCTCTCCTTCCTTCCTGCCTTCCTCTCTTTTTTTCCTTCCTTCTCTCTTCCTCCCTCCCTTCCCTCTCTCCACCCGCCCCACCCGTCCTTCCATCTTTCTCTTCATCCTTCCCTTCCTTCCTTACATCCCTCTTTCTCCCTCCCTCCTCCCTTCCTTTCCACCCTTTCATCCTTCCTTCCCTTTCCTCCCTCCTCCCCCTCTTCCTTCCTTTCTTCTTTCCCTTTTGTTTTTCCTTCCTTCTTTTTCCCTTCCACCTTACCTTCCTTCCATCCTTCTCTTCCTCCCTCCCTCCCTCCCTTACCTCCCTCTCTCTCCCTCCCTTTTCTCCTTTCCTCTTTTCTCCCTCCTTCTCCCTCTCCTTCCTGCCTTCTTCCTTTCCTTCCTGCCTTCCTTCTCTTTTGTGTTTCCTTCCTTCTCTCTCTCCTCCCTCCCTTCCCTCTCTCCCACTTTCTCCCACCCGTCCTTCCATCCTTCCCTTTCCTTCCTTACATCCCTCTTTCTCCCCCCCCTCCCCCCTTTTTTTTTCCCCCCCGCTTAACCATTTTTTTTCCCTTTTCTTCATCCTTCCCTTCCTTCCTTACATCCCTCTTTCTCCCTCCCTCCTCCCTTCCTTTCCACCCTTTCATCCTTCCTTCCCTTTCCTCCCTCCTCCCCCTCTTCCTTCCTTTCTTCTTTCCCTTTTGTTTTTCCTTCCTTCTTTTTCCCTTCCACCTTACCTTCCTTCCATCCTTCTCTTCCTCCCTCCCTCCCTCCCTTACCTCCCTCTCTCTCCCTCCCTTTTCTCCTTTCCTCTTTTCTCCCTCCTTCTCCCTCTCCTTCCTCCTTCTTCCTTTCCTTCCTCTTCCTTCTCTTTTTGTTTCCTTTCCTTCTCTCTCTCCTCCCTCCTCCCTTCCCTCTCTCCCCCTCCCACCCTTTTTCTTCCTCTTCTCTTCTCCTTCCCTTCCTTCCTTACATCCCTCTTTCTCCTCCCTCCTCCTCCCTCTTTCCACCCTTTCATCCTTCCTTCCCTCTTTTCTCTCCCCCCTTCCTTCCTTCTTTCCCTTTTGTCTTTCTTCCTCTTCCCTTTTCCTTCCTCTTCCTCCCTCCCTTCCCTTCCCCTCCTCTTCCATCCTTCTCTTCCTCCCTCCCTTCCCTCTCCCCTTTTCTCCTTCCTCTTTCCCTCCTCCTCTTCCTTCTTCTTTCCTTCCTTCCTTCTCTTTTGTGTTTCCTTCCTTCTCTCTCTTCCTCCCTCCCCTTCCCTTCTCCCTCCCTCCATTCCCACCCTTCCTTCCATCTTTCTCTTCTCCCTCCCTTCTCTTTTCTTCCTCCTTTCCTCCTGGGGGATGTTTAGCTGGGAGAAGAGAAAGTAGAGAGGGAACATGCTCTCGATCCCGTCTGCTTCGCAAGCACGCTTGGCGGGGACGAGGGACAGGGCCTTCTCTGTGGTGGCCCCTTGGTTGTGGAACTCCCTGCCTAGGGATATTAGATCATCCCCCTCCCTCCTGACTTTGCGGAAGAGAGTGAAAAACTGGCTCTTCAAGCAGGCATTCGGAACCCCGGAATAGATAGTCAAGCTTGAGATGGAGAATGACCCAGGAACGGCCAAGACGATGAAACGGACGAGGATTGGAATGAGAGGATAGAGCTCTTTTTAAATTGTTGTGGCACTGTCTTTTTTGTTTAAATGCACTTAATTGTCTTTGCTTTTGAATGTATGTATTGATGGCATCGAATTGTGCCGATATGTAGACCGCCCTGAGTCGCCTGCGGGCTGGCTGATATGGGCGGGATATAAGTGATGTAAATAAATAAATAAATAAATAAATAAACCTGAGAACCTTGTTTCAAAATTCAAAAGGGTGTCCCATTAAAGAGGAGGAGGGGGAGGGGAAACTGACTTTCTGCTGCTCATAGGTGCAGGCGAAACGTCAGGAGAGAATGCTTCTAGAACATGGCCATACAGCCCGAAAAACCTACAACAGCCCAACATTGAAAAAGATGGGTTGTTGTAGGTTTTTCCGGGCTATATGGCCATGTTCTAGAGGCATTTTCTCCTGATGTTTCACTGCATCTATGGCAAGCATCCTCAGAGGTATGAGGTCTGCTTTACCTCATTACCTCTGAGGTCTGCTTTATCTCATTACCTCTGAGGATGCTTGCCATAGATGCAGGCGAAACGTCAGGAGAAAAATTGCCTCCAGAACATGGCCATATAGCCCAGAAAAACCTACAACAACCCATGGATTCCGGCCATGAAAGCCTTCGACAATACATTGAAAGTGATCTTTAATTTAATCCAAACTTGATTTCATAACCACGAAGGGACCACCGACCCCTTTATTGACACTCGGACTAACCCTAAAGCCCAACGGCTGGTTTTACCTGTGCCAGGATGAATGCTAAACATGGGAAGAGCACCGTCTCTATGCATCAAGCCGTACTTGACTTCCCCATTGGTTCCTTCATCGGCATCTGTGGCCTCGACGCGCAACACAAATGTCCCCACCGGCTGGTTCTCCAGCACCGACGCATGCTCGCGATAATGTTGACACTAGCAAAGAATGGCAAGACCGATAACAGAAGAGCACCACAAACACATGTTCAAATAACCAGCATATGATGCTTAACTTATGGCAACCCAGTAGGGAGTGGAAGGAATCCATGACCTCAGGACTTCGCAAGGAAAATGGGGGAAAAAATACAAAAAGTTCACAGAAGGATATTTAACGGCCTCATCTTGGGCGAACAAAAAAGGGAAAAGAAGAAAGGGACAAAAGGAGAGATCTTCAAAGGACAGAAATCACGTTTGTTCCATCTTTCAACCACTTCTCACTTGTCAAAAAAGGATCTGAAGGATACAGAATATAACCGCCGTGTTTTGCAAGTGACCCTGGCTTTTGTTTGAAACACCACGGGCCGAATAAACAGCATTTTCGATGCCTTCCTGTCTCTTCCCTACTGTTGCTTCTCAACTGAAAGCGCTGGTATCTCAGAAATGTGAGAATATCGCAGCAAAGCCATCTCACAGCTCTCCAACCACAGTGACCTTTGTGTAACACACATCTTTCTGTTGCAATGTGCAGAGCCAATTCTCTCGGAATCCGACACTTCCGCACAAAACTTTCCATCATCTATAATCCCCTAAACATGAAACAGGTAGGCAAATATATCCCGAAATATAAGAAGTCTCCCTTTTGCACTTTTCTATCACAACTCCAGCAATCTACCTACACCTGTTCAAAACTGCCAAACTTTGTGTGTGTGTCAGGAGTGACTTGAGAAACTGTAAGTCACTTCTGGTGTGAGAGAATTGGCCATCTGCAAGGTTTTTGCTCAGGGGACGCCCGGATGTTTTGCATTCTTGACAGCAGAAGGTGCCACCCCAAAGGAGATTCCTCAGAGAATGCAAGCTGTTTATGGCGATTGTGTTGATGTGAGTACTGTGCATCACTGGACGAGTAAGTTTAAAGATGTTGAGGTGACACCTTCTGCTGTCAAGAATTCAATGACTGCACGTTGCTTAAGTCGCATTGACTGACCGTCTGTCCATACTTCACACTTTACCAACACAACCTTTCAATGCTAAGGTTTCCCACCAAAATGGATCTGTAGAAGAGAGTCTACTGAACAAGCCAGTACCTGCCACATACCAGTACTGCCATCAGTTGAGGAGTTACGAAGGTGGAGGCATTACTTTTCATTTTAACAACACAACCGTTCAATGTTAACGCTTCCTACCAAAATGGAACTGTAGAGGAGAGTCTACTGAACAAGCCAGTACCTGCCGCATATCGGTACTGCCATCTGTTGAGGAGTTATGAAGGTGGAGACATTACTTTTCACTTCAACAACACAACCGTTCAATGCTAAGGCTTCCTACCAAAATGGAACTGTAGAGGAGAGTCTACTGAACAAGCCAGTACCTGCCACATACCAGTACTGCCATCAGTTGAGGAGTTACGAAGGTGGAGGCATTACTTTTCATTCAAACCTCGTATTTAAGGGTTTTTCAAAAACAGAAAAGTGACATTTTTACTCTTTGGGCATTGTAATTACAAGTATCACAAATTATTTTTAATGTTTTTCCACCCACCCCCCACACCCCCCACGTACAATATATACGAATACAGAAATGATCACCTACCTTCTGAAATACAGGTTTGTTATTATTGACATCATCCACATGTACGACAACGAGAGCAGTGCTGGAAAGGGAAGTAGGTCCACTGGAGGCGTTGTCGTCTGTAGCGGTCACGTTAAGAACATACTCTTGCCCTTGCAGTTTGGGAGGTGGGCTTGAACGGAGGCGGATTAAGCCTGCCAAAGAGAAGAGAGGGTTGGGGGTTCCAAACAGATGAGGAGGAGACCATGGCTTCTGTAGAGTGAGAGGTTTCCAGACCACAGCACGCTTTGAAAGAGGGTTTGAGTTATGGAGAAAATGAGATGATGGCACTCTGGCTTCCAGTGGGACCAGCAGAGGTGACCCTAGGTAATTTTCAACGGTAAGCAAACAGTATTTTGGCGCCCCCGCCCCAACCAATCACTGATATATATTTTCTGTTCGTCGTGGGAGTTCTGTGTGCCATATTTGGTTCAATTCCATCATTGGTGGAGTCCAGAATGCCCTTTGACTGTAGGTGAACTATACATCCCAGTAACTACAACTCGCATATGTCAAGGTCTATTTTCCCCCGAGAGCGACTCAAGAGCGCCCCTGGGCAACATCAACTATACTGCAAAGGCTTACTTTGCGTAATGGTTGAGTCGTATGAGACTGTAATCCACCGCCTCCTCCTGAGAAAAATGTATAACATCACAAAGGACGACTACCTCACCCGCCTCATAGGAAACCTGCTACAAAACAGGAGCTTTTTTGTTGAGTTCCAGGGCCAGAGAAGCAGATGGCGGAAACAGAAGAACTGCCTGCCTCAGGGGAGCGTGCTTGCTCCATCCATGTTCAACATCTACACAAATGACCAGCCACTGCCAGAAGGGACAGAGAGCTTCATCTATGCTGATGATCGTGCCATCACCACTCATGCAGGGAGCATTGAAATGGTTGAAGAGAAGCTCTCCGAAGCTGTAGGTGCTCTTCCTGCCTACTAAAAGGAAAACCAGCTGATTCCTAATCCATCTAAAACACAGACGTGTGCCTTTCACCTTAAGAACAGACAAGCATCCCGAGCTCTGAGGATTATTACCTGGGAAGGAATCCCACGGGAGCATTGCAGCGCACCCAAATACCTGGGAGTCACTCTGGACCGTGCTCTGACCTACAAGAAGCACTGCCTGAACATCAAGCAAAAAGTGGGCGCTAGAAACAACATCATATGAAAGCTGACTGGCACAACCTGGGGATCACAACCAGACACAGTGAAGACATCTGCCCTTGCGCTATGCTACTCTGCTGCTGAGTACGCATGCCCAGTGTGGAACACATCTCACCACGCTCAAACAGTGGATGTGGCTCTTAATGAGACATGCCGCATTATCACGGGGTGTCTGCGCCCTACACCACGGGAGAAATTACACTGCTTAGCCAGTATTGCACCACGTGACATCCGCCGGGAAGTAGCAGCCAATAGTGAAAGGACCAAGGCAGAGAGATCTCCAGCTCATCCCTTGTTTGGGTATCAGCCAGCACATCAATGACTTAAATCTAGAAATAGTTTTCTAAGATCTACAGAGACACTCGCTGGAACACCTCAGCAAGCGAGAGTCCAAAAGTGGCAGGCTCAAACCCAGCACCTCAACCAATGGCTGATACCAAATGAGAGACTCCCCCCTGGGCACACAGAAGACTGGGCAACCTTGAAGGCACTGAATGGAAGGCACTGAAGGCGCTCTGGCACCACGAGATGCAGAGTCAACCTTCAGAAATGGGGCTACAAAGTGGAATCCTCGACATGCGAGTGTTGAGAGGAGCAAACCACTGACCACCTGCTGCAATGCAACCTGAGCCCTGCCACATGCACAAGGGAGGACCTTCTTGCAGCAACACCGGAAGCACTCCAAGTGGCCAGGTACTGGTCAAAGGACATTTAACCAACCACCAAACTCAAAAGTTTTGTATCTTGTTTGTTTGCTTGCTTTGTTCTGTTAGAAATGTAATATAATGGACTGGTTGCTCTGACACGACAAATAAATAGCTGTCCACACACACCTAGAGCGTGTCCCAACCTCTGCTGACATGGAGCAAAGAGTAGGAAGTCCCTGAATGGTCAAACATGCTCCACTAACAGTACACTACTTCTAGTCTGCCTAACAAAGGATGTCCCCGAGTTGGAGGTTTGAGCTTACCCTAAACTAGTGGCTCTCAACCTTTTTAATGCCGCAAACCCTTCATACAGTTCCCCATCTTGTGGTGACCCACAACCATACCGTTATTTTCATTGCTACTTCATAACTGTAATTTTGCAACTGTTATGATTCATCATGTAAATACCTGATATGCAGGATGCATTTTCATTCACTGGACCAAATTTGGCACAAATACCCAATACGCCCACATTTGAATACTGGTGGTGCAGATTGATTTTGTCATTTGGGAGTTGTAGTTTCTGGGATTTATAGTTCACCTACAATCAAAGAGCATTCAACTCCACCAACGATGGAATTGAACCAAACTTGGCACACAGGACTCCCATGACCAACAGAAAATACTGGAAGGGTTTAGTGGGCATTGACCTTGAGTTTGGGAGTTGTAGTTCACCTACACCAAGAGAGCACTGTGGACTCAAGCAATGATGGATCTGGACCAAACTTGGCATGAATACTCAAAATGCCCAAATGTGAACACTGGTGGCGTTTGGGGAAAACAGACCTTGATATTCGGGAGATGTAGTTGCTGGGATTTACAGTTTGTCTACAATCAAAGAGCATTCTGAACCCCACCAATGATAGAATTGGGCCAGACTATTATTATTATTATTATTATTATTATTATTATTATTATTATTATTATTATTATTTCCAACACAACAAGATTGGTACACAGCAAACAAGGTCACTCTGCTGGCTGTTGTATTGGATTACACATCGAACACTTCCCAAGTGCCTAGGACTGTGTGATGTATTGGCGAATGATGCATGCAGATCTCAGTAAGGTGGCCTTCTGCAGCTGGCAGGTGGTAATCTTCTCAGCACCGACTGTGTTTAAGTGCAGGCCAAGGTCTTGAGGCACTGCACCCAGTGTGCCGATCACCACTGGGACCCCCTAGACTGGCTTGTGCCAGAGTCTTTGCAGTTTGATATTTAAATCCTCATATAGTGTCAGCTTTTCCAGTTGTTTCTCTTCAATCGTGCTGTTGCCTGGGATTGCGACATCGACAATCCATACTTTGTTTTTTAACACGATTGTGAGGTCAGGAGTCTTGTGCTCCAAAACTCTGTCAGTCTGAAATCAGAAGTCCCAGAGAAGTTTGGCGTGTTCATTTTTTGTAACTTTTTCCGGCTTGTGATCCCACCCATTCCTTGTCGCAGGCAGATGGTATTTGTGGATCCACAAGTTCCAGTGGATCATCTGAGCAAGGGTGTTGTGCCTCTGCTTGGAGTCTGTCTTGCGATCTTCTTGCAGCAGCTGAGGATGGGATCTATTGTTTCACCTGCTTCCTTGCAGAGTCTACATTTGGGATCTGTTGTCAATTATTATTATTATTATTATTATTATTATTATTATTATTATTATTATTATTGACACAAAAGCACAGAGATCTCTATGCTGGATTTCGTATCCCAAAATCACAAGTTGAACCCTTCCCAAGCGTCTAGGACTGTGTGATGTATTTTCGAGTGATGCACGCAGATCCAAGTCAGGAGGCCTTCTGCAGTTGACAGACCATGATTTTGTCCATGTTTATTGTTTCCAAATGCCGGCTGAGATCTTTTGGCAAGGCACCCAGTGTACCCATTATTCCCACTGGGACCACAGTGTACCCATTATTCCCACTGGGACCACAGTGTACCCATTATTCCCACTGCCAGAGCCTTTGCCGTTCGATTTTGAGGTCTTGATAGCGGCTGAGTTTTTCCTGTTGTTTTTCCTCAATGCGGCTGTCACCTGGAATGGCAACATCAATAATCCAGACTTTTTTCTTTTCCACCATCGTGATGTCTGGTGTATTGTGTTCCAAAACTTTGTGAGTCTGGATTCAAAAGTCCCACAGTAATAATAATAATAATAATAATAATAATAATAATAATTATTATTATTATTATTATTATTATTATTATTATTATTATTATTTATGTATTGTCGAAGGCTTTCATGGCCGGAATCACTGGGTTGTTGTAGGTTGTGTTTTTTTTCCAGACCTCACTACCTCTTGTCTGCTGGAGCTAGGTGTCATTTTCATGGTTTCCTCCTTTCTGTTGAAATTGTCCACATGCTTGTGGATTTCAATGGCTTCTCTGTGTCGCCTGACATGGTGGTTGTTGGTGTGGTCCAGCATTTCTGTGTTCTCAAATAATATGCTGTGTCCAGGTTGGTTCCTCAGGTGCTCTACTCTGGCTGACTTCTCTGGTTGAAGGAGTCTGCAGTGCCTTTCATGTTCCTTGATCTGTGTTTGGGCAATGCTGTTGCGTTTGGTGATCCGTATGGAGACTTGTCCACAGTTGCATGGTATCCGGTAGACTCCTGCAGATCCCTCTTGTCTTTTGCTGAACAGAGCATTTGTTGGATTTTCTTGGTGGGTCTGTAGATGATTTGTATGTTGTGTTTCCTTATCAGCTTCTCTATGTGGTCAGTGGTTCCCTTGATGTATGGCAAGAACACTTTTCCTCTGAGTGGGTCGTTGTCTTGTCTCTCGTGGCTTGTTCTCGGTCTTGCAGCTCTTCTGATGTCTGAGGTGGAGTATCCATGAAAATGAACAAATTCTGGCTACCAGTATTAAAAAACTCTAAAATTAAAACAGCAGAGGAAAAACAATCAGGGACATCTAATCACCTCTCAACAAAAGATTGCTCCAGGCACTTCCAGGCTATCAAATGCTAATCAAGGAGGTCAGTTGAAACATTCACCCCTAGCTCCAGTAGACAAGAGTCCTTTGTCTCACCCTGGTCTTTCCACAGATATATAAACCCATTTTTCCTACTTCCAACAGACCTCACTACCTCTGAGGATGCTTGCCATAGATGCAGGCGAAACGTCAGGAGAGAATGCCTCTAGACCATGGCCATATAGCCTGGAAAAAAAAACCTACAACAACCCAATAATTTATTATTATTATTATTATTATTATTATTATTATTATTATTATTTAAGTGACAAAAGGGAAAACAGGAACACTTGATGGCACCACCACCACATATATATATAT